GGTAAAAGTAAAGATTTCAGGGGTCCCAGGCCGGGTTAGAGGCGATTTGAGAGGTGTTGGGGGCCCCTGGATGGGTTTTGGGGTGATTTGGGGGTGACGGGGGAGCCCTGGGGGGGGTTCAGGGTGTTTTGGGGCTCCCAATGTAGGTCTTGGGGGGTTCCGGGTGGATTTGAAAGTGATGGGGGGGACCCGGGCTGAGTTTCGGGGTGTCCCGAGTGGGTTTTGGGGCTCCCCAGGCGGGTTCCGGGGGCTCCGGGGCCCGCTCCCCGCTCACCTCGTCCCACCGGATGAATTTGCTGCCCCGCACCAGCATCTCCGGGACCCGCGGCGGCTCCAACGGGAGCGGGGCCAGGCCCGGGCGCGGCGCCGCCATCGCTGAGGCGGCCGGGGCGTGGCTACGCAAAAGAAGGCGTGGTTACGTGTGAGGGCGTGGCTTAAAAGGGGCGGGACAAAAAGGCGTTGAGGCGCGGCCCCTTTAAGAGCGGCCGCGGACTTCACCAGACGTTGCCGCTTTAAGGGGGGGCGGAGCCAAGGCCGCGGCGCTCCGAGGGGGCGTGGCCCGGCGCGGCGGCAGCGGCACAAAGCGGTGCACGGCTGCAGCGGTGACCTGCTGACACCGGAAGCGGTACCGGCGGGCGGGGGGCGTGGCCGGTTCCGGTACCGTCATGGCGGCGCCGTGCGGCGGCCCGGGCCCCCCCCCCGCCGCCGCTGCCGCCACTCCGGGCCCGAGCGCCGGGGCTGGGCCCCGCGTGTGCTTCGCGGCGGGAGCGGCGGCGGAAGGCCCGGAGGAGGCCCCGGGCCGGCGGCAGGGCAAGGTCACGGTCCGGTACGACCGGAGGGAGCTGCGGAAGAGGCTGCACCTGGAGGAGTGGATCCTGGCCCAGCTGACGGCGCTCTATGACTGCCGGGTACCGGGAGCACCGCGACTCCTCCCTGCCCCCTCCAACGGCACCGGGGACAACCCCCCCTCAGACCCCTCCTGGGACCCCTCCCGGTACCGGCCCTGGTTCCCCCCCGCCCCTTACCGGGATCTACATCCGGGACCCCGCCCTTTGCCCCCCGGTACCGGGACCTCCCCACTCCCCTCCGACCCCTGGTTAGGTCCCTCCCCCCCCCCACCGCCGTTATCCGGTACCGCCCCCCCATGTGGCGCCCCGGGGTGCGGGGGTGGGGGGAAGCGCCCTTTCATCCCCACCCCTTCCCATGCTCCTTTGCGAAAGGGGCGGGAACATCCCAAGGCCACGCCCCCCCGGTGGGTGGGATCAGTTGGGGGGGAACGACCCCTTTGATTTTGGGGTGTTCCCCCCCCCCAAGGAGGAGGAGATCCCGGAGCTGGAGATCGATGTGGACGAGCTCCTGGACATGGAGAGCGACGGCGCCCGCAGCGCCCGCGTGCAGGTACCCCCAAAACTGGGGGGGTCCCCAAAACATGGGGGGGTCCCCAAAATCGGGGGGACACACACACACAACAAAACCCGATACCCTCCCCCCCCATTGCTGTTGTATTGGTGCTTCCATGGTGGTTTGGGGGGGGGGTCATAACATGGGAGGGGTGAAGGTTCTGATGGGGCCCCCCAAGTCTTTGGGGGACCCCAAAGCCACCCCTGATCCCCCCCTCCCTTTATCCCCCCCTCCCCCCCAGGAGATCCTCGTTGACTGTTACAAGCCCACAGAGGTAAGAGTGGGGAGAGCGCCCCCTTTTGGGGGGGAGGACTCATTTGGGGGTGTCACATTGGACCCCATGGTCCCCTTTTGGGGGGGGGGGTGTTGATGCCTGCTCAGAGGGTTCCTTTTGGGGGCACACACTCACATTTGGGTCCTATTTGGGGTGAATGTGGTCCCTATGGGGGGTGTGGGTCCTTATGGGAGAGGGGTCCCCATTTTTGGGGGTCCCCTGAACCCCCCTTTCTGTGGCCCCCGCCCCCCCCAGGCCTTCGTCGGGGACCTGCTGGAGAAGATCCGGGGGATGCAGAAGCTCAACACCCCCCAGAAGAAGTGACCCCAACCCTCCCCCATGGTTTTGGGGGACCCCCCCCAATTACCAGAGCCCCCCCCACCTCCAGATTTGGGGGGGGGTTGACCCCAATATTGGGGACCCCTTAATTTCAGGGTCCCCCCTGCAGTGATAATCACCCCCCATCACCCCGCCTCCACTGGTTTTGGGGGGCCCCCCCGTGGGTGTTGGGGGGCGCCCCCCCAAGGTGGGAGGGGGAATTTTGGGGCTGTTTTTAGTTGTTTTTACATTTTGGGCTGAATTTTGGGGTTGTTTTTATATGAATTTAATAAACGCAACTTTGACATTTGGGGGTGCACTTGTGACTCCCCCCTCCAAATCCCCCCCCCCCCCCAGGGAACCCCCCAAAACTCAGCCACTTCAAGAGGCTCCAACCAGCTCTTTATTGACCCCCCCAATTTGGGGGGACCCCCCACAAAAAGGGGGGGTACTCCTGATCCCTGTGTTTTGGGGGGGTTCCCCTAAAATGGGGCCCCCCCACGCTGTTGGGGACCCCCCTAAAGCTCCGGCCGCCGCTCGATCTTCAGCAGCTCCACCTCGAAGATGAGCACAGCCCCCCCTGTGCGAGAGGGGGGGGTCAGGACCCCAATCCCCCCCCAACACCCCTGCACCCCCAAACCAGCCCATGGTACCCCGAAACCCACACTTGGGCCCCTCCTGAACCCCCCAAAAGCCTCATTTCCACCCCAACCCCCCCAATCTCTCTGCTGAATGCCAAAACCCCACCCCAGGACCCCCCTATTTCCCTCTGACCCCCCGAAATTCCATCTTTTCACCCCAAAATCCCCTCAATACCCCCCTGAACCCCAAAACGGAGGAGGAATGTGGGGGCAGGGCTCACCTGGGATTTTGGGGGGGGCCCCACGGTCTCCGTAGCCTGGTGGGGGGAAATGGGGCATCATTGGGGGGGGCAGTCTTGGGGTGCCCCCCCAGATCAATTTAGGGTCTCATCCGAGTCCTCTCATCAAGGGGGGGCCCCCTTATTTGGAGACTCCCAAAAGGCAAGACACCCCCCAATACGGCCCCCCCTGCTTTTAGGGTACCCCCCCACTGTGTTTTGGGGTCCCCCCAGTTTGGGGCTCACCCAGCTCCGGAGGAATCACCAGCTTCCGCTTCTCCCCTTCACACATCCTGGGGGGAGATGGGGGGATATAAAGGGGGGGTCCCCCAAATAATGGGGTCCCCCCAGACCCTGTGTGTCCCCCCAACCCCAAATTTGGGGTCCCCACCACAGCCCAGGGGCTTCCCTAAACCCTTAGGACCCCCCCAATCTATTGGGGTGCCCCCCACCCTCTGGAGCCCCCCCCAAACCCAGGGCCCCCCCCAACCGTACCCCAATAGTCCCTGGTCCCAGCCCTTGATGACCTGCCCAGTGCCCAGTGAGAACACAAAGGGCTGATCCCGGCTCCGGCTGCTGTCGAACTGGGAACCGTCCTCCAGGTGGCCCTGCACCAGTATAAACCAGTATGGACCAACACAACCCACCCCAATCCAGTAAGAAACCACAAAAGCCCGCACTAACTGCTATAATTCTCTCCTAAAATCGCCCCTGTCCTGAAAGTAGCATAAACCAGTACAAACCAGCACAAACCAGTGCTCCCAGTCTGAACCAGTTAGCCCCAAAGCCTCCTGTGCGCATGCAGAGAGGTTCCCAGTATGACCCAGTATAAACCAGTGGTCCCCAGACCTTCATGTCCATACCCAGGTCATTCTTTGGTCCAAAATAGCACAGCCAATACCTCTTCCCAGTCCAAACCAGTCTAAACCAGTAACACCCCCCCACATTACTGTGGACAACCAGGACTTTCCCAACCTCTCCCAATGCTTCCCAGTCCAAACCAGTAACGCCACCCACAAGAGTTACCATGGACAATCAGGACTCTCCCCATGATCCCCCTCACCCCCTCCCACTACTAACCAGTATAAACCAGTACAATATAAACCAGTACAAACCAGTCCAAATTAGTAAATCCCCTTCAGGTTACTGTGGACAACCAGGACTCTCCCAACCTCTCCCAATGCTTCCCAGTCCAAATCTGTAACGCCCCCCTCCTAGAGTTACCCCCTCCCAGTCCCAACCAGTATAAACCAGTTCAAACCAGTATAAACCACTCCAAACCATTAAACCCCCCTCAGGTTACTGTGGACAACCAGGACTCTCCCAATGCTTCCCAGTCCAACCTGTAACGCCCCCCCCGCACAGTTACCCCCTCCCAGTCCCATTCAGTATAAACCAGTTCAAACCAGTATAAACCAGTCCAAACCAGTGCCCCCCAGTACCGTGTAGTGCATGTGGAGCAGGTCCCCACGCCGGGACCGGACCCCGCAGGCCTCCGGCCGCCGCCTCACCCCGATCTGCACCTTCCGGCCCGGCTCCGCCGCCAGCGCCAGCGCCAGCGCCAGCACCCACCACAGCTGGGGGGGGGACACGGGGACACCCCCATGACGTCATTGCTGGGCCCATGACGTCATCACCGGGCCCGTGATGTCATCAGCAACCCAACCTTGCCATAGGCGCATCCCCACCCCATCCCCTACAAAGGTCATGACCCCTGCCCCCCCCAGGGGTCATTGACGTCACAAGGGGTTCATGGGCACCTCAGTGACGTCACAGGCATCCCCGTGACGTCACAAGCACCCCAATGATGTCATCAGCACCCCAACACGAGCCCCCCCACCCCAAGGCTCTCTCCCCTAAGACACGGCACCCCTGTGACGTCATCAGCACCCCCGTGACGTCACAGGCACCCCAACAAGGCCCTGTCCGGTGCTCCAACTCTCCTCAGGGTCCCCCTTTAGGCCGCTCTCTCGCCCCCCCCATGACCCTTTTTCAGCTCCCCCCCACCCTAATGCCCCCTCACACCCCGGGACCCCCCCGGGACCCCACCCGCCGCTCCCGGTACCCCCCCGGTCCCCCCCCCCGGTCCGTGTCCCCCCCCTTCACCTCGGCCACCATCGCGCTCAGGGCGCTCTGCGCAGGCGCGGGCTCACGTGACCTCTCCACCGGACGGAAGTGTCGTACCCGGAAGCGGAAGGCGGTGGCCACCGGTGGCGGCGGCGCGGCGCGGGGTTCCCATGGTAACGGCCGGGGGGGGGTGGTCTCATTAACCCCTTATTTATGAACCCTAATTAAACACCTCCCCTTCACCTCCCCCTAATTAGCATCTTATTAGCATGAAGCGCGCTGAACGGATTCGCAATGGTGGCGGGGTGGGGCTAATTAAGCGTTAATTAGCGGTTAATTAACCTGTAATTAGAGCTCATTGGCAGTTAATTGGTATGCATTAGGGACTAATGAGCACTAATTAGGGGAGGAGCGTGATCAGCCGTTAATTCACTCCGTCTCTTCATTAAACCCGCCCCTTCATTAACCCCCTTCATTAACACTCGTTAATTAACGGGGCTCGGAGAGGCCCACCGCGTCGATTAACAGTTAATTAACCCTTAAAGGTTAATTGAGGATTAATTAACGGTTAATTAAGAGTTAATTAAAGGTTAATGAAGAGTTAATTAAGTGTTAATGGAGTTAACACCGAACCCGTCCCGCAGGGGCCCTGGGCCGCCCCCCCCCGGCTGCTGCCCCGGACCGGGCCCGGGCTCTGCACACGGTGAGACCCCAACGGGGGGACCCCGAACCCCACCGGGACCCCCCCCCCCCCTCCTCCGGGTCCACCCCCCCCGACCCCCGTTCGTGTCCGTTCCCCCCCCCCGCAGGGCCGGGCCGCGGGACCCGTACTCGGTGCTGGGGGTCCGGCCCGAGGCGTCACCGGCAGAGATCAGGGCAGCGTTCCTGGAGCGCTGCAAGGAGGTGCGGGGGGGCTGGGAGGGACTGGGATGGACTGGGGGGACTGGGATGGACTGGGATGAAATGAGAGGACTGGGATGGACTGGGATGATTGGAATGGACTGGGATGATTGGATGGACTGGGATGGATTGGGATGAAATGGGGGGACTGGGATGGACTGGGATGGATTGGGATGGATTGGGATGGACTGGGATGAATTAGAATGGACTGGGGGAACTGGGGGCACTGGGATGGACTGGGAGGACTGGGATGGACTGGAGGGACTGGGATGGACTGGGATGGACTGGGGGAACTGGGATGAACTGGAATGAACTGGGATGCACTGGGATGGACTGGGATGAACTGGGATGGACTGGGGGGACTGGGATGAACTGGAGGAACTGGGAGGGACTGGGATGGACTGGGAGGACTGGGATCAATTGGGATGAGCTGGGGGCACTGGGATGAACTGGGATCAATTGGGAAGAACTGGGGGTACTGGGATGAACTGGGATGCACTGGGATGAACTGGGATGAACTGGCCCCCCCCCCAGGTGCACCCGGACGGGGACCCCTCGGACCCCTCCCGCCACGAGCGGTTCCTGCTGCTGGCAGAGGCCTATGGAGCCCTGACCCGGCCCCGTGCCCCCCCCGAGGCCCCCCCTGGAGCCCCCCCTGGAGCCCCCCCCCGGCCCAAGGCAGGAGCAAAAGGAGCCGGAGCCCCCCCCCACTCCAAGCCCCCCCCACGGTAACCGGGACCCGGGGGGGGGGGGGTGAGGGGGGCTCCCAAAGGGTGCTGGGGAGGACTGAAGAGGGGACATAGGGGTCCTATGGGTGCTTCTTGGGGGGGTGTGGATGATCCTATGGGTGCTGGGGGGGTCTGCTGTTCCCATGGGTGCTGGAGGGGGTGTCTGGGGGGGGTCCTGGTGTTCCCATGGGTGCTGGAGGGGGGGTCTGGGGGGGGGGGGGTCCTGGTGTTCCCATGGGTGCTGGGGGGGTTCTCTGGGGGGGGGGTCCCTGGGGTTCCCATGGGTGCTGGGGGGGGGGTCTGGAGGGTCTGGGGGGGGGGTCCTGGTGTTCCTATGGGTGCTGGGGGGGATCCTGAGGGGGTCCCTGGGGGGGGAGTCCTGCTATTCCAATGGGTGCTGGAGGGGGGGTCCGGAGGGGGTCTCTGTGGGGGGGGGTCCTGGTGTTCCCATGGGTGCTGAGGGGGTCTCTGGGGGGGAGGTCCTGGTGTTCCTATGGGTGCTGGGGGGGATGGGCTGGGTGACCTTGTGGGTCCCTATGGATTCCGCAGGGGTCCCATGGGTGCTGCCCCTCTCCTCCCCCCCCCCCAGGACTGACCCCAACCGCCGGTACTGGGAGCAGTTCTGCCCCCCCCGGAGACCCCGTGGCCCCCCCTGGCGCGTGCTGGGGCTCTGCCTGCTGGTGGCAACAGTGGGGGGGCTGGCCCATGCACTGGCCTACAGGTGGGGGGGGGAACCCAAGGGTGGGGGGCACCCAAGGGTGGGGGGCACCCAAGGGTGGGGAGGGCCGAGGGGGGGTCTATGATGAGAGGGACACCCAGAGGTTGGGGGGGGTCTGATTTTGGGGGTGATCCATGGGCTTGGGGGGACTCCCAGTGGGTCCCAAGGGGGGGAGCACCCATGGGTGGGGGGACCCCAGAAGTTGGGGTGGGCTTAAGAATTTAGGGGGGTCCCAGGGGCTTGGGGATGGGAATTGGGGGTTTTGGGGGGTCCCAGGGGTTTGGGGTCCCCAACGGGGGGGGTCCTGATATGGAGCCCCCCCCCAGGTACGTAACAGGGGCTCACACGGCCTTCCTGAACGAGAGGGACCGAGTCCTCACTGCAGTCTATGAGCAAGCCCGGAGCCGGTGGGTGCTGGGGGGCACCTATGGGTGCTGGGGGGGAGGGAAATGTGGGTGCTGGGGGGGCAAGAATGGGAGTGGTGGATGGGGGGGGATTGGGGGTGCTGGGGGGCACCTGTGGGAGCTGATGGGGGGTGAATGGGAGTGCTGGGGGGGGAATGGGGGTGCTGGGGGGCACCTATGGGTGCTGGAGGGGGAAATGGGGGTGCTGGGGGGGTGGGGTGTGGGGTGGGTGTGGGGGGGGATGGGGGTGCGGGGGGGGGGGTCATTTGGGGGAGGGGTCTTTGATCCTCCCGTGCCCGCCCCGTGACCTCTGCCCCCCCCCCCCCGCAGGGCCGGGTCACACGAGGAGGTGCTGCGGCGGCTGCGGGCTTCGCGCCAAAGGGGGCGGGGCGAGGTCTAAACCCCGCCCTCCACCCGCCAAACCCCGCCCCTTTCTCCCTCCTCTCCGACCCCTCCGCCGGCTGCCGTTGGTACGTCCCGGCATGTGGGCGGGGCTTCCCTCCGCGGTCACGCCCCCTCACCTTTACTCACGTGACCTCGCGGCCATGTCGAAGGCTGCGCGGGCGGTGCGGGCCGCACGGGCGGGCGCCGGGGCCCGACCGGAGACGAGGCCGCTCCGGGCCCAGATCCCTGCGGGGGGCGCGGCGCCGGGACCGCCGCTGGGGCCCCTCCTGGGGCAGGTGCGGGGCTGGGCCGGGGCGGGGGGTCCCGGTTCCGGTTCCCGGTACTGACCCATCCGGTATCTCCGCAGCGCGGGGTCCCGATCGGCGCCTTCTGCCAGGACTTCAACGAGCGCACCCGGGACATCAAGCCCGGGGTCCCGCTGCGGGTCCGGCTGCGAGTGCACGTGAGTCCCGGGGCACCCCCGCACCCCCCCGTCCACCTCCGTTACCGGTTACCGGGGCAGCCCCCGGTGGGTGCCCCCGTTTAACACCCCCCCCCCCCCCAATTCAGCCCGACCGGACCTACGACCTGAGCATCGGGACCCCCCCATCCTCCTACTTCCTCAAGGCTGTGGCCGGTGTTGAGAAGGGGGCAACGCGGCCCGGTGAGGAGATGGGGGGGGGGAGGCTGGGAACCCCCCATAGGCATCGGAGAGGGGGAGATTTGGGGCTCAGAGGTGTCCTGGGGGGGGGTCCAGTATCTTGGGGGTTGCTATGAGTAATAGGGGGCGTAATAGGTGTTAGGGGGCATCTGTGGGTGCTGGAGGGGGGGTTATGGGGGGTCTATGGGGTTGGGGGTTCCCCATTGGGTGCTGAAGGGGGGTCCCCCCTATGTTTCACACCCCCCCCCCAGGGCACGAGGAGGTGGGGGTGGTGTCCCTGAAGCACCTCTATGAGGTGGCGCTGGTGAAGCAGCAGGACCCGGCCGTGGCGCTGACTGGAACCTCCCTGCCCCAGCTGGTGACGGCGCTGGTGGGCTCTGCCCGCAGCCTGGGCCTGCGCGTGGTGCCGCGGTGCGGGCCCCACCCCCCCCGAAACACCGGCAACAACAGCAACAACCACCCCCCATCAGGCCCCCAATAACAGCAACCACCCCCCAGCAACCCCCCAATAATGGCAACCACCCCCCAGCAACCCCCCAACAACAGCAACCACCCCCCAGCAACCCCCCAATAATGGCAACCACCCCCCAGCAACCCCCCAACAACAGCAACCACCCCCCAGCAACCCCCCAATAATGGCAACCACCCCCCATTAACCCCCAACAACAGCAACCACCCCCCAACAACCACCCCCCAGCAACCCCCCAATAACAGCAACCACCCCCCAACAACAACCCCCAACAACAACCACCCCCCATCAACCCCCAACAACCACCCTGAACAACACCCCCCAACAACACCAGCCCCCAACAGCGCCAACACCCAATAACCACCCCCAACGGTCACCCCAGCAGCAGCAACACCCCCCCAATAACTACCCCCAACAATAACTCCCAATAACCACCCCCAACGGCCACCTCAGCAACACCTCAAGCACCCCCCAACAGTCACCCCAACAGCAACAACCCCCCAACACATCCCAGCAACACCCCACAGTAACCACCACCGACAGCTCCTCCAACAGTCACCCCAACAGCAACCCCTCCAATAATAGAACCCCCAAACAACAACCCCCCCAAAGACACCCCCCAACATCACCCCCAACAGACAGTGCAACAACCCCCCCAACAATAGCCCCCCCAAACAACACCCCCCCAATATCATCCCCCAACAGACAGTGCAACAATACCCCCCCTCCAACAGCCCCCCAAACCACAGCAGCCCCCCAACTGCTGCCCCACACCACTCTGGAACAACACCCCCTCCCCCATCCATCCAAACATTGAGGTGCCCCCCCCCTACATCCCTGGGTGCCCCCCCCCACCCTATTAATCAATGGGGTGACCCCATCCACCCCTCCCCACAGCCCTGGGGTGTCCCCCCCATACAAACCATCCTCCCAATAACTGGATGCCCCCCTCCAGTGCCTTGCTCCCTCAGTGGGGGGATGAGGGGTGGGTTTGTGGGTGCCCCCCCCCATTACCCCCCTTTCCTTGCCCCCCTCCCAGGCTGACGGCTGAGGAATGCGCTGAGTTCCAGCGGCAGCGGCGGGAGCAGGAGGCGGCTGCGGCCCAGGAGGAAGAGGAGGGAGCCAAGAAGTGACCCCCCCTGGCCCCTCCCCCTGACCTCTGACCCCCCAGGGTCGGGGTTCCCCCCAATAAACGTTTATTCATCCCATTTGGGGTCTCCTTTATGGGGGTGAGGGGGGTCCCTTTGGGGGGGGGAGGATGAGGAGGGTCCCTTTGGGAGGGGGGGATGAGGAGGGTCCCTTTGGGGGGGGGAGGATGAGGAGGGTCCCTTTGGGGGGGGAGGATGAGGAGGGTTCCTTTGGGGGAGGGGGGGATGAGGAGGGTCCCTTTGGGGGGGAGGAGGGTAGGGTCCCTTTTGGGGGGGGGGGATGAGGAGGGTCCCTTTGGGGGGGGGAGGATGAGGAGGGTCCCTTTGGGGGGGGAGGATGAGGAGGGTCCCTTTGGGGGTGGGGTGAGGAGGGTCCCTTTGGGGGGGGGGGAGGAGGAGGGTCCTTTTGGGGGGGGGGGAGGATGAGGGGGTCCCTTTGGGGGGGGAGGATGAGGAGGGTCCCTTTGGGGGGGGAGGATGAGGAGGGTCCCTTTGGGGGTGGGGGCATGAGGAGGGTCCCTTTGGGGGGAGGGAGGAGGAGGAGGGTCCTTTTGGGGGGGGGGAGGATGAAGAGGGTCCCTTTGGGGGGGGAGGATGAGGAGGGTCCCTTTGGAGGGGAATGTGGCACCTTCATCATCAGCCCCTTCATCCTCATCCTCTTCCATCTTCATCCTCCTCATCCATCCCCAGCCCCCCCTTCCTTCCTCATCCTCACCCCCCCTTTCCCATCTTTTCCCTCCTTTGTCCCCATCTTCATCCTCTGTTGTCCCTCCTCATCCTCCTCTCCTTCATCCCCATCTCATATCCCTTCATCCATCCTCATCCTCCTTCCTCCCCATCCTCTTCCTCTTTCATCCCTCCTCATCCCCCCCTTCTTCCCCATCCTTCTTCACCCCATCATCTTCATCCTCATCCTCTCCATCAGCCCCATCTCTATCTGCTCATCCCCATCATCTTCATCCTCATCCTCTCCATCATCCCCATCTCTATCTGCTCATCCCCATCATCTTCATCCTCATTCCCCTCCATCCTCTCCATCTTCATCCTCCCTCCTCATCCTCACCCCCTTCATATTCATCTTCATCATCTTCATCTCCATTCTTTCTCCCTCCTCCCCCTTCCCCATCCACCTTCAGCCCATCTCAATCTTCCTCTATCCCTCCTCATCCTCAGCCCCATCCTTCCTCTCCCAGCTTCATCCTCCTCCATCTTCATCCTCATCTTCACCCCCCCTTCACCTTCACCCCCTCCCTCCTTCCCTCCTCATCCTCATCCTCATCCTTCCTCTCCACTTCATCCCCATCTATCTTCATCCTCATCTTCACCCTCCCTTCACCATCATCCCCATCTCTATCTACTCATCCCCATCATCTTCATCCTCATCTTCACCCCCCTTTCATCTTCATCTTCATCTCCATCCTCTCCTCCCTCCTCATCCTCCATCTTCATCCTCATCTTCACCCCCAATCCTCTCCATTTTCACCCCCCCTTCATCTTCATCTTCTTCATCTCCATCCTCTCCTCCCTCCTCATCCTCACCCATCTTCACCCCCCTCTCCCCCTTCATCCTCCCGCATCCCCCCGTTTCCATCCCCCCCCCCCCCCCTTCCCCAGCGCTGCGGCTCCTCCGTTACCGCGGAAACCGGGGTCCGGGATTTGGGGGGGGGGTGGGGGGGGGGGCCCAGCGGCCAAAACCCCCTCCCCCCCCTTCTCCCGCGGGGGATCCCCGGTGCCCGCTCCCCCCCCTCCCCCCGCAGGGATCCCCGGGCTCTGCTCCCTCCCCCCGCCCCCCCCGCCCCGCCCCCTCGCTATTTTTAGCCCCCCGGCTCCTATTTTTAGCGCAGCGGCTTCAGCGCCCAAATTTGGCAGCGGCGGAGCCCGGGGAGGGGGAGGGGAAACCGCGGCGGGGGCGGGGCCAGCGCGGGGGGAGCCGCGGAGCGGGGGGAGGGGGGACAGGGGGGATCCCGGGGGGCGGGGGAAGGGGATGGGGGGGGTCCCGGTAACCCTGAAGGGCCCCCCTTGGGTGCTGGGGGCCCTCCGGACCCACTGACACGGTGCCCAAAGCCCCCCCCCCCCAGTGATGCTTCCACGCAACCCCCCCATTGAGCCCTGCTGAGTCCCCATTGATCCCATTGAGTCCTGTTGAGCCCCACTGAGCTCCCATGGACCCTCACGGAGCCCCATTGAGCCCTATTGACCCCTGTTGAGCCCCGTTGAGCCCCGTTGAGCCCCATTGATGCTGTTGAGCCCCACTGAGCCCCATTGAGCTCCGTTGAGCTCCCATTGACCCCCATTGAGCCCCGCTGAGCCCCATTGAGCCCCATGGAGCCCCATTGACCCCGTTGAGCTCCAACTGAGACCCACTGAGCCCCACTGTGTCCCACTGAGCTCCCATTGACCCCCATTCAGCCCCATTGAGCTCCCACTGCCTCCCCCATCCCTCACATCACCCGTCCTCTCATCCCTCCCTCCCTTGACCCACCATTGGCCGGTCTGTCTGTCCATCTGTCCAGACCCTGATCCCGTTCCCCCCATTGACCCCATCTGCCCCCCACCAACCCCCTCTGCCCCACATTGACTCTCCCTCCACCCTTTGAGTCCTTCCAGCCCCACAGCGGCGCCTCCATTGACCCCCTCCACTCCCCTCCATCAATGACTCCATCGTTTGACCCTCTCCATCCTCACATTGGGTTCTCCATCCCCCCACTGATCCTCTCCAGCCCCCGGTTGACTTTCTCCATACCCCATTGATAACCCATCCCCCACTGACCATCTCCATCCCCCCATTGACCCTCTTCATCTCCCCATTGACCCTCCATTGTCCTGTTCACCCTCCCATTGACCATCTCCCTCCTCATTGACCATCTCCTTCCCCCATTGACCATCTTCACCGCCCTTTCACTCTCCATCCCCCTGTTGACCCTCCCATTGACCATCTCCATCCTCATTGACCACCTCCATCCCCTCCTTGACCATCTCCCTCCCCCATTGACCATCTCCCTCCCCCATTGACCATCTTCACTGCCCTTTGACTCTCCATCCCCTGTTGACCCTCCCATTGACCATCTCCATCCTCGTTGACCACCTCCATCCCCTCCTTGACCATCTCCCTCCCCTACTGGCCATCTCCCTCCCCTACTGGCCATCTCCCTCCCCTATTGACCATCTCCATCCCCCCACTGACCATCTCCATCCCCCCATTGACCCTCTGTTCTCCTGTTGACCGCCCATCCCCGTTAACCCTCTCCGTCCCCCTATTGACTCCATCCTTCCCTCCCTTGAGCCCTTCCAACCCCCTATTGCCCCCCAGTCTCTCCATTGACCCCTCCACCCCTCCCTACATCCCCCCATTGAGCCCCCATTGGCTCCCCCACCCTTCCATTGACACCCCCATCCATTCCCCCCTTCCCTCCATCCCCCCCTCCCCATTGCCCCCTTTCTACCTTCCCTTGTCTCCCCCCCCATTGCCCCCTTTCACAGCTCCCCCCGGAGGGGGGGGGGGGCGTTTCCAACGCCCCGCCCCTCCCCTCGCCCCGCCCCTCAGCGCGCGCCATCTCCTATTTCGGTGCGAAGCCGCCGCGCGCCGCCCCCCTCCCCCTTCAACCCCCCCGCGCCCCGCGCCGCGCGCGCGTCGACGTCAGCACTGACGCTGCCGCCTCCCCCCCCCCCTCCCCAAAACGTTGCGAATGGGAGGAGCGGGGAAAAGACGGGGGGGGGGGGGGGGGTGGGCGGGGGGGGGGGTGACGCTGCGGTGACGTCGTCCCGCGCGGTCCATATAAGGCGCGTTCGCGCGGCGGCGCGGCGCGAGGATGCTCCGCTCCACCAAAGGCGCCTCCAAGGCGCGGCGGGACCAGATCAACGCCGAGATCCGCGCCCTGCGGGACCTCCTGCCGCTGCCCGACGGGGACCGGCCGCGCCTCTCCTACCTGCACGTCATGGCCCTCGCCTGCATCTACACCCGCAAGGGAGCCTGCCTCCGGCCCGGTGCGTGTGCGGGGAGAGCGGAGGGAGGGAGAGGTAGGGCTGGGATGGGCACCGGGAGAGGGGATGGGGATGGGGATGGCAGCGGGATGGGAGCAGGGAACGGGAAGGGAGTGGGGAATGGGAGCGGGATGGGACCGGGCACTGGGATGGGACCGGGCACCGGGATGGGACCAGGCACTGGGATGGGATTGGGCACCGAGATGGGACCGGGCAGTGGAATGGGACTGGGCGCTGGGAAGGGATCGAGCACTGGGATGGGACCAGGCACCGGGATGGGAGCAGGAATGGCACAGAGATGGGATCAGGCATCAGGATAGGACCGGGGACTGGCACTGGGATGGGAATGAGCACTGGGATGGAAGCAGCACTGGGATGGGACTGGGGATCGGAACACAGATAGGAGCAGGGAGCAGCACGGGATGGGAGCCGGCACTAGGAAAGGGACTGGAACTGCTCTGGGGAGCTGGGGACCGGGATGGAGCCGGGTGAGGACCAGGCTGGAGGTGGGCTGGGAGCCGGCAGCGGCACCGGGAACGGGGAACCCGCACCGGGCTGGAGCTTGGAGCCGGTGGATGGACGGGGATAGGCGCAGGGAGAGGAGCAGGCACCAGAGTGGGGTGGGACGGGGACCGGGGGGAACCGGGGGGAACCGGGACAGGAGCAGGCAGCGGGGGTTCAGCACCGCGGATAGCGCCGGGTGCGTTCAGCACCGCGGACAGCGGCAGCGGGCGGGCGGGGGCTTGGTTCAGCACCGCGGACAGCGGCGCAGGGGATCGAGATCGGGGCTGGGACCGAGAGCGGGGACAGGGACCGGGACACTGGGACAAGGAGGGATACCGGGACCGGGGACCGAGGATCGGGGCTGGGATCGGGGCACCGGGACAAGGAGGGATACCGGGACCGGGGACCGAGGATCGGGGCTGGGATCGGGGCACCCGGATAGGGACCGAGACTGGGAACTGGAACCTGGGATCAGGGCTGGGACAAAGACCGGGAGAGCAGACAGGGACTGGGAGACCAGGACACGGACTGATACTGGGGATCAGGACTGGGACTGGGCGAGCGGGATAGGGAGTGAGACCAACACCAGGGATCAGGATCGGGACCTGGGATCAGGGCTGGGGCAGCAGCCAGGGAGCAGGATGTGATGGAGCTGGGACCAGAACCGGGATCAGAGACTGGAACAGGAGGGACCAGGTCAGGAACCGGGATAAGGGCCAGGATTAGGGACCAGAGCTGGGGCTGGAGGCAGGCACAGGGATAAAGGATGGCGACAGGGACAAGTGATGGGGACAGGGAATCCCATGGCTCTACATGGGCAAGGCATGGGTAACTCCATGGGGGCCACATGGGTGCAGTGGGACCGTGTGGGCAAGGCACCAGGTGCTGGGTGGGTGCTGACGGGTGTCCCCTTTGCAGGCCCAACACGGGGAGCACCCATGGAGCTGCTGGGGGGGCCGGAGCTGGCTGACCTGGTGGCATCACTGCCCGGGTTCCTGTTGGCTGTCACCCGCGAGGGGAAGCTGGTTGGTGTCACCGACAACGTCGCACAGCACCTGGGGCACTCCATGGTGAGCACCCACAGGGGGAACGGGGCTGGGTGCTGGGAGCTTGGTGGGTGCTGGGCATTGGGTGCTGGGTGGTGGGCACTGGGTGCTGGATGCTTGGTGCTGGGAGCTTGGGGCTGGGTGCTGGGCATTGGGTGCTGGGTGGTGGGCACTGGGTGCTGGGCATTGGGTGCTGGGTGCTTGGTGCTGGGTGCTGGGCATTGGGTGCTGGGTGGTGGGCACTGGGTGCTGGATGCTTGGTGCTGGGAGCTTGGTGGTGGGTGCTGGGCATTGGGTGCTGGGTGGTGGGCACTGGGTGCTGGGCATTGGGTGCTGGGTGGTGGGTGCTGGATGCTTGGTGCTGGGAGCTTGGTGGTGGGTGCTGGGCATTGGGTGCTGGGAGCTTGGTGGTGGGTGCTGGATGCTTGGTGCTGGATGCTTGGTGGTGGGTGCTGGGCATTGGGTGCTGGGTGGTGGGCACTGGGTGCTGGGTGCTTGGTGCTGGGTGCTGGGCATTGGGTGCTGGGTGGTGGGCACTGGGTGCTGGGCATTGGGTGCTGGGTGGTGGGCACTGGGTGCTGGGTGCTTGGTGGTGGGTGCTGGGCATTGGGTGCTGGGTGCTTGGTGCTGGGTGCTGGATGCTGACCCCCCCCCCCCCCCATGCAGGTGGACCTGGTGGCTCAGGGTGACAGCATCTACGACCTGTTGGACCCGGCTGATCACCCCCTGGTGCGACATCAGCTCACCCAGGCTGGGCCCCCCCAGGCAGGTGGGTGGGGCCTCCGAGGGGGTGGGGCCTGAGAGGGTGTGGGCAAAGGGAGGGAGGGGTGGAAGGATGGAGGGAGGGAAGGAAGGGAAGGATGGAAGAGGAGAGGGAGAGATGGGACGATGAAGAAATGGAGGGAGGAAGGAAGGGAGAATGGATGAAGAGAGGAGAGAAAGATGAATGGATTGATGGAGAGAGGGATGGAGGGATAGATGGATGGATGGATGATGGAGGGATGGATGGATGATGGAGGAATGAGGGAGGGATGGATGGATAATGGAGGGATGGAGGGATGCTGGGTGATGGAGGGATGATGGATGAATGATGGATGGGTGCATGGATGGATGGAGGGATGGATGGATGAGGGATGGATGGATGGATGTTGGATGGATGGATGAGGGATGGATGGATGATGGATGGATGGATGATGGATGGATGGATGATGGATGGATGGATGGATGAGGGATGGATGGAGGGATAGATGGATGAGGGATGGATGGGTGATGGGATGGATGGATGATGGGATGGGTGATGGGATGGATGGATGGGTGATGAACACAAGGGTGGAGGACACATGGAGGGATGTGCAGAGCTCCACAGTTCTAACCCAAGACCCCTTCCTCCAGAGCGCCTCTTCCGCTGCCGCTTCACCACCTCGCGGGCCTCGCGCCGCCCCAGTGCCGGGCGGAAGCTGGTGCTGCTGCGGGGCCGCTTCCAGGCCCCCCCCGGACCCCCCGGCACCTCCCCGGGGCTCTTTGTCGCCTTCTGCGCCCCCCTGGACCCCCCACCCTGGCCCTGCCCCGACTGCCTCCTGCTGCCGGCCTTCCAGAGCCGCCACGCGCGCGACCTCGCGCTGCTCGACGTCTCCGACAGGTCAGGACCCGACCCCCAAAGGGGGGATCCGGGTGTCCAAGGGGGGGGGGGTCCCAGCCATGGCGGGCGCTGGACCCAGGCCTCTTGTCCCACAGTGTCCTGATGCACCTGGGCTATGGGCGTGGGGAGCTCCTGGGTCGCTCCTGGTACCGGCTCCTGCACCCCGAGGACCTCGGCCATGTTGCGCGCCAGCACCTCCGCCTGGGTAAGTGTCCCCTTGGTGTCCCCTGGGCTCTCCCTGTCCCCCCCCCCCTCCTCCAAGCTGTTCCTTGGGTTTCTGGGGTCTTCCTGTCCCCTGGGTGTCCCCAAGGGTGTCACCCATCACTCTGGGTGTCCCTTAGGTCCCAATGTCCTCAAGGGTGTCACCCATCATCTTGGGTGTCCCCTGGGTCCCAATGTCCCCAAGGGTGTCACCCATCATCTTGGATGTCCCCTGGGTCCCAATGTCTCCAAGGGTGTCACCCATCATCTTGGGTGTCCCCTGGATGTCCCCAAGGGTGTCACCCATCACCCTGGGTGTCCCCTGGGTCCCAATGTCTCCAAGGGTGTCACCCATCACCCTGGGTGTCCCCTGGGTCCCAATGTCCCCAAGGGTGTCACCCATCACCCTGGGTGTCCCCTAGGTCCCCTGTTGTCACTTTGCCCCCCATCATCTCCTTGATGTCTCCCACATCCCCTGGGCCCACCTTGCCTCCTCTCCGGGTGTCTTCCATGTCCCTGTTGTCCCCTGTCCCCATTGATATCCCCATATCCCCACCCCCCCGAATCGACCCCATTGATGTCCCCATCCCCATCCCCATGTCCCTGCTGATGTCCCTGTCGGTGTTCCCACAGCAGGAGCAGGGCCAGAGGCACGGGGGGAGCTGGTGACACGGCTGCAGCGCAAGGATGGCCTGGGCTGGACGTGGGTCTATGCCCGCCTGCGCCCCGAGGGCCCAGCTCTGCTCGCCCACAACTTCATCATCAGGTGAGCCCCATCACCCCCCACCCCACAGAGCACCCATGGGGCTGGGCACCCTCCACTCCCCTGGGGGCCCCAGGCTCACCCCAGACCCCCCCTGTGTCTTCCACAGTGAGGCCGAAGCTTGGTGCCTGCGGCAGCAGTTGGCAGCTGAGGCCCCCCCGGACCCTCCTGAGCCCTTTGGCCCCAGCCTTGACTTCCCTGGGGCCAGCATTGGAGCTGGTGGGGACCTTGGTGTCGGCGCTGGCCCCGGTGTTGGCCTCGGTGTTGGTGCTGGTGTTGGATCCGGTGTTGACCTCGGTGTTGGAGCTGGGCTTGGAGAAGACGTTGGAGTTAACGTTGGCATCAGCCTTGGCCTTGGCGTCAACGTTGGATGTGGCCTTGGAGCTGATGTTGGACATGGCCTTGGATCTGGCTTGGGAGCCAACGTTGACCCTGGTCTTGGAGCTGGTGTTGGACCTGGTCTCGATGCCAACATGGGACCTGGTCTTGGAGCCACCATTGGACATGGCCTTGGAGGCAACGTTGGAGCCAGCATTGACCCCGGTCTTGGAGCTGGGGTCGGAGTGAACGTTGGACACGGTCTCGGAGACGGCGTCGGACAAGCTCTTGGCTCTGATGTCGGTGCTGGAGTTGGCATCGGCGTCGGAGCCGGCATCCGAGTCGACGTTGGCCTTGGTGTGGGAGCCGGCCCCAGCCCCGATGTTGGCCCCAACCTTGGGGCTGATATTGGCGCTGCTCTCGGAGCTGGAGATGACATTGGAGCTGGTCTCCAAGCCAACGGCGGAGCCGGTGTTGGCTCTGGTCTTGGAGCCGGTGTCGCGCTCAGTGTCGGGGCCAACATAGGGCCTGGTGTTGGTGGTGGTGTCAGAGCCAGCGTCGGGCTTGGCATTGGGGCTCTTGGCCCTGCTCTTCCATCTGATGTCAGTGCTGGTGTTGGACTCACCGTCGGAGCCAGCGTCGGAACCAATGTGAGCGCTGGAGTTGGACTTGGTCTTGGAGCCAATATTGGAGCCAACGCTGGCTCCAGTCTTGGATCCGCCGTTGGACTTGGACTTGGAGCTGCTCTAGGAGCCAACGTTGGCTCCACTCTTCCATCTGGTGTGGGACCTGGCGTTGGACTTACCGTTGGGGCTGCTGTTGGAGCCAATGTTAGCTCTGGTCTTGGATCCAGCGTTGGACTTGCTGTTGGAGCCGGTGCTGCTCTTGGACCCGATATTGACATTGGCGTTGGACTTGGTGTTGGAGCCAACGTCGGCACTGCTCTTGCATCTGATGTTGGATCTGGTGTTGGACTCGGCATTGGAGCTGCTGTTGGAGCCAACATCGGTGCCGGCGTTGGCTCCACTCTTGGATCCGGCGTTGGACTCGGCCTTGGAGCCAACGTTGGCTCCAGCATCGGCTCCGCTCCCGGATCTGATGTTGGTGCCGGTGTTGGACTCGCAGTTGGAGCCGGTGTTGGAGCTACCGGTAGCTCCGGTCTTGGATCTGCTCTTGGATTTGCCGTTGGAGCCGCACTCGGTGCCAATGTCTGCGCCGGGCTCGGGCCTGACGTTGGTGCCAGCGTTGGACTCAGCCTTGGAGCCAGCATTGACTCCGCTCTTGGAACCGGCGTTGACACCGGCATTGGGCTCGGTGTTGGAGCCGGTATCGGACCCGGTGTCGGACTTGGTGCTGGAGCTGCCATTGGAGCCAGCGCTGGCTCCGCTCGAGGATCCTCCATCGCCCTCGGCCCTGGGGCCAGCGTTGACCCCGCTCTTGGACCTGGCATTGGCCTCGGAGCCCCCATTGGAGCCAACATCAGCACCGGCCTCGGCCTTGCCCCCAGCCTGGCAGCGGGCGCCCGCCTTGCCCCAGGCCTGGGGGTCCCCGAGACCCCGGGGGGGGGCACCGAGACCTGGACCCCCCCCTACACCCCCCGGCAAGCGCCCCCCTTCGCCTTCGGCCCCCCGGAACCACCCGAGGCTGCTCCTGAGAAGCTGCCACCGAGTCCCGAGAGCCCCGGGGGGGGTCCGGGGGGGGACCCCGGCTCCCTCCTCACCCCCGAGACGTCCCCCCCCCCACCGCCCCCCTCGGCCGCCCCCCCCGGCCCCGTTCTCCGCCGCCTCCTCCAGGGCCTGGCCGCTGCCGCCGGCGTCAACCGCGGGGGGACCCGGAACCCAGGGGGCCCCCCCGGACCCCGGCCCCCCCCACCCCGGTCGCCCCGCGACCCCTTCGCTGAGTTGTATCAACTCCCCCAGAGCCGGCTCCAGGACGCCTTCCGCCAAGGTAAGGGGGGGGTCAGGGTGAGGGGGCACCCAGTGGGGGGGGGGCAGCATGGAACTCATCGCTGGGGGGGACCCAGTGGGGTTTTGGGGGTGAAGATGGGGTCCGAGGTGCAGGGTCCAGAGGGGTGGGGATGGGGGGGGGTGATCCAGGGTCCATTGGGGGGGTTGGGGGGGTGATGACCCCAAAAGTTGGGTCCCTCAATGGGGGGGTGTGCGTGTGCCCAGACACTTTGTGTGGGGGGGTCAATGCCTGGATGCATTGGGGGGGTACAGGGGGTTATGGGGGTACAGAGGGTTATGGGGGTACAGGGGGTTATGGGGGTACAGGGGGTTATTGGGGTACAGAGGGTTATGGGGGTGTCTCTGACATCCTGTTCTCCCCCCCCCCCCAGCCGGAAGCCAGCGCGCCCCGTCGTTCTGAACTAAGTCTGTGACGCGACTTGCCCCCAGTATGGCATATTGTCATTGTCACCCCGGCCCGGAGCCACCGTCCCCCCGGCCCCGGCCGCGTCCCCGCCCCCCGCCGCCCCCCCCCGGGGCCTTTCGTGCTAATTTAACTCGTAACGAGTCTCTAAGGTAATTGGGGGGGGGCTGGTGGCCCCCCCCCCCCGCACCCCCCAAGCCCGGATGCCTGGGTCCCATGTCCCCATGTCCCCATGTCCCCATCCCCAAATCTTGTCATTGGGTGGCTTGGACCCACCTGTAGGAGCCTGTGGCCCCCCCCCAACCCCAATGTCCCTGTCCCTTGTCACCCACCTTGTCCTTGTCATCCCCCCCTCCTCACCTTGGGGTCTGCGTTTTTGGCAGAGTACCCCCAAAAGTGTGTGCTCCCCCCCCCCCCGGGTGTCATCCCCAATGTCCCCAACCCAAGGGACCGAGGCACGATGTGGCTTGATGTCCCCAATGTCCCAAACCCGAGTGATGGAGACCTCGTGGCTCAGTGTTCCGATGTCCCCAGTGTTCCCAACTCAAGGGGCTGAGGCACAATGTGGCTCGATGTCCCCAGTGTCCCCAGTACAAGGCATGGAGACACGCCATGACCCAATGTCCCCAACCCACTGCCCCAAGCCATTGGGCTTGGACAGGTCATGGCTCGATGTCCCCCATGTCCCCAAGTCCCCCAAGGGACTGTGAGATGTCCCCAGTGTCCCCAATCTAAGGGACTGAGACACATCGTGGCTCAGTGTCCCCAATGTCCCCCACATCCCCAGTGTCCCCAATGTCCCCCCACATCCTCGATGTCCCCAACGCCCCCCACTCAAGACATTGAGATACGTCGCAGTGCGATGTCACCGAGCCCGAGGGACTGAGACTCGTCACAACTCGATGTCCCCAACGTCCCCGAGGGACACGGGCACCTCCTCACCGCTGTGACCCAAGGGACCGGTGTCCCCCCAAGTGTCCCCAATGGATGCAGACACCACCTAAAGGACTGAGACTGTCGCACCTCGTCGTTGCCTCAGCTGGAGGGACCCTGTGGCTTGATGTCCCCAATGTCCCCAAGGGACGTGGGACCTTGTTGTCACCCTGGAGCAATGGACTGAAACACATCGTGGTCTGATGACCCCCATGTCCCCAATGTCCCCAATGTCCCCAACCCCAAGGACTGAGACCTGTCGTTGCCCAATGTCCCCCACGTCTCCGATGTCCCCGAAGGATGTGGGGCATCATCACCGCCTTGACTCAAGGGACTGAGACCCTGATGTTCCCAGTGTCCCCACCGCGAGGGACTGGCTCCCATTGACCCCCAACATCCCCTGGAGGCCCCGTGGCCCTGACACCCCCTTGGAAATAAAGTGGCCTCCGTGTCCCTGTGCCTGTGGCAGCTTCTTTATAGGGACAAAGGGGGGGGGGACCCAGGGGTTTGGGGGGTCCTATGGGCTTGGGGGGGACCCAGGGATTTCGGGGGTCCCATGGGCTTGGAGGGGGACCCAGGGATTTGGGGGGTTACAGGGGCTTGGGGGGGGACCCAGGGATTTGGGGGGTTACAGGGGCTTGAGGGGAGACCCAGGGGTGTGGGGGGGTCTCGAAGGTGCAGGGAGGGACCCAGACATTGGGGGGGATCCCTGTGCTTGGGGGTACCCCGGGCTGTGGGGGGGTTCCGGGGGTCCGGACGGCCCCAGGCTGCGACCGCTGCGGAGACACGGCAGGACCCGCGCTGCGCACAGGCCACGCCCCCATCGCTGTAACCACGCCCCCATCCCTAGTAACCCCGCCCACCTCCCGCCTTGACCGAGCCCCCTTTCAGCCCGCCCTGGCCCCGCCCCGCGCATGCGCGGTTCCTCCGGCGGCGCGGTGCGGTGAGGTCGCGGGTCCCGGTTCCCCCCGGTCCCATCCCGGTCCCTTCCCTGCGCTGGGCTCGGGATAACCCCGAACTGGGACCGGTTCCCTCCCGAGCTGGGTCCGAGCACTCCCATACTGGTCCCAGTAACCCCTTATTGGTCCTAGCACCCCCATACTGGTCCTAGCACCCCCCATACTGGTTCCAGTAACCCCATACTGGTACTAGCACCCCCATACTGGTCCTAGCACCCCCGTACTGGTCCCAGTAACCCCATACTGGTGCTAGCACCCCCATATTGGTCCCAGTAACCCCATACTGGTACTAGCACCCCCATACTGGTCCTAGCACCCCCCGTACTGGTCCCAGTAACCCCATACTGGCACTAGCACCCCATATTAGTCCCAGTAACCCCATACTGGTCCCAGTAACCCCCTTACTGGTCCCAATAACCCCATACTGGTCATAGCACCCCCATACTGGTCCCAGTAACCCCCTTACTGGTCCCAGTGATCCCATACTGGTCCTAGCACCCCCATACTGATCCTAGCACCCCCGTATTGGTCCCAGTGATCCCATAGTGCTCCCAGCATGCCGTACTGGTCCATGCTCAGCACCAATCCCAGTGCCCGCCCCGGACTGGTCCCATTGACCTCATCCAGACCCCAGTGTCCCCCAGCAGCGCACCAGTAACGCCCAGCATCCCCCAGCCACCCCCCCCCTCCCCTCCCCACTCCCATTGGCTCCTTCCCAGTGCCCCCCTCCCAGTATCCCCAGTTTGGGGGGGGGGGGGGGGGCCCGCACGCCATGGGCCGAGGGCGGCTCTTGGGGGGCTGCGCGTGGCTCCTGGGGGGGCTGGCGCTGCTGCAGACCCTTTACCTGCGAGCGCTGCCCCCCCCCGCCCCCCCCCGCCGCCGCCCCCCCCCCTTTAAACCTCTGCCCCCCCCCAGGGGGGTTCTGGACGCTTCCGGAACGTTCCGGTTGTACCGGGATGTGTTGGGGCCCCCCCCCCGTCCTGGGCGTCCCCCCCGGACTTGGTCCTGGCCACGCACGGGACCCCGGGGCGGGCGGCGGCGGCGCTGGGGGGGGCGCTGGAAGGGGGCAGATGGGGGGGGCCCCTCTCGGTCGCAGTTTTCGGGGTCCCCCGTGCGGGGCTGGGGCAGCTCCTGCGGGCAATGGGGGGGCCCTGCCGGGGGCTCCGGGGGCGCCTTCGGCTCCACGTGGTGCTGGGGGCGGCGGAGCCCCCCCCCATCCTAACGCCCCCCCTTTCCCCATCTCGGGGTCCCGCAGCGCCGGGGGGGTGCAGGGGGGCTCTGGGGCGCGTGGCGGCCGCGGACCCCCCCAGTTACACTTTGGGGGTGCCGTACCCAGGGAACCTCCTGAGGAACCTGGCCTGGGCAGGGGCGGCCACGGGGGGGGGGTTTGGGGGGGACAATGGGGGTCCCGGCCCCCCCAGCCCTATGGGGAGCCGCTTTGTGCTGCTGCTGGATGCGGATGTGGTCCCCAGCCGGGGGCTGCGGGAGGGGTTCCTGAGGGCGCTGAGAGGGGGGGGACCCCCATTGTGGGGAGATGGGGGGGACACCCCATTATTGAGGGCATCTGATGGCATCAAAGGGGTCCGCAACGCCCTGGATCCCCCCCACCAGGGTTTTGGGGTCCCCAATGAGCATCAGGGGCTCGACACCCTGGGAGTCCCCAATAGGGTGGGGAGCCCCAATGATGTCCTGGGGGTCCCCAAAGGCTTCCATGACCCGGGGGTCCCCAGTGTCTTGGAGGTCCCCAATGTCCCAAGGGACCTCAATGTCCTAAAGGGCCCCAGTGTTCTAAAGGACCCCAATGTCCCAAGGGACCCCAGTGTTCTAAGGGACCCCAACATCTTAAAGGACCCCAATGCCTTGGAAGACCCCAACATCCTAAAGGACCCCAAAGCCTTGGAGGTCCCCAGCATCCTAAAGGACCCCAATATCCCCAAGGACCCCAAAGCTTTGGAGGTCCCCAGCATCCTAAAGGACCCCAATATCCCCAAGGACCCCAAAGCTTTGGAGGTCCCCAGCATCCTAAGGGACCCCAACATCCCAGAGGACCCCAAAGCCTTGGAGGTCCCCAGCATCCTAAAGGACCCCAAAGCTTTGGAGGTCCCCAGCACCCTAGGGGACCCCAATGTCCCCAAAGCTTTGGAGGTCCCCAGCACCCTAGGGGACCCCAATATCCCCAAGCACCCCAATATCCCAGAGGACCCCAATGCCCCAGGTCCCTCACATCCACCCTGGACCCAGGTGCTCTTCGTGCTCCCAGCCTTTGAGGTGCGTTTGGGTACCCCGATACCGGGGACGAAGGCAGAGCTGCGGCGTCTATGGGGCACGGGGGATGCTCGGCCCTTCTATGGGGCGCTGTGCCCCCGGTGCCAGGCACCCACGGACTATGGGCGCTGGTGGGCGCTGCCGCCCACCCCACACCTGCGGGTGGCCTATGAAGCCCCATGGCGTGACCCATGGGAGCCCTTTTATGTGGGGCCGGCCCACGGCGTCCCCCCCTTCGATGAGCGCTTCCTGCAGTACGGCTTCAACCGCATCAGCCAGGTGATGGGGGGTGCTCGGGGGGCTATGGGGTGGCCATGGGGGCTGTGGGTGCTGTGGGGTGGCCATGGGGACCATAGGGTGGCCATGGGGGCTGTCGGGGCTGTGGGGTGGCCATGGGGACCATAGGGTGGCCATGGGGGCTGTCGGGGCTGTGGGGTGGCCATGGGGACCATAGGGTGGCCATGGGGACTGTGAGTGCTGGGGGGGGGGCATGGGGACCATAGGGTGGCCATGGGGACTGTGGGTGCTATGGGGGGGCATGGGGACCATAGGGTGGCCATGGGGGCTGTGGGTGCTGGGGGGGGGGGCATGGGGACCATAGGGTGGCCATGGGGGCTGTGGGTGCCTTTTGGGGACCATGGGGACCATAGGGTGGCCATGGGGACCATAGGGTGGCCATGGGACTGTGGGTGCTGGGGGGGGGCCATGGGGACCATAGGGTGGCCATGGGGGCTGTGGGTCCTGTGGGGGGGGCCATGGGGACTGTGGGTGCTGGGGGGGGGGACCATGGGGACCATAGGGTGGCCATGGGGACTGTGGGTGCTATGGGGGGGCATGGGGACCATAGGGTGGTCTATATGGGTGCTATAGGGGTCTCTGAGTGCTATAGAAGTCTGTATGGGTGCTATAGGGGTCTCTGGGTGCTATAGGGGTCTCTGGGTGCTATACAAGTCTATATGGGGCTATAGAAGGGCTATATGGGGCTATAGAAGTCTCTATGGGTGCTATAGAAGTCTCTGGGTGCTATAGAAGGGCTGTATGGGGCTATAGAAGGGCTATATGGGGCTATGGAAGGGCTATATGGGGCTAGAGAAGGCCTATATGGGGCTATGGAAGGGCTATATGGAGCTATAGAAGGGCTCTATGGGTGCTATAGAAGGGCTATATGGGGCTATAGAAGGGCTATGTGGGTGCTATAGAAGGGCTCTATGGGGCTATAGGAGCCTCAATGGGCGCTATAGGGCTCTGTGGGGCTCCGTGCCCGCTCTCCCCCCAGGCGTGCGAGCTGCACGTGGCCGGGTTCCGTTTCGCGGTGCTGGACGGGGCCTTCGTGGTTCACGGCGGCTTCAAGGAGGCCTCGGGCTTCCACGGGGGCCGCGGCGCGGAGCAGCACCGGAACCGCCTCCTCTTCCGCCGCTTCCGCGCCGACCTGGGCCAGCGCTACCCCGGATCCCCCCGGCGCTGCTGAGCACGGGCACGGGCATGGAGGTGGGTGCTGCACGTGGGACATGGACATGGATGTCAGTGCTCCACATGGGACATTGAACATGGGACATGGGCATGGGCATGGACATGGGTGCTGCAGATGGAACATGGGACATGGACATGGAGGTGGGTGCTGCACATGGGACATGGGCATGGATGTCAGTGCTGCACATGAGACATGGACATGGACATGGATGTCAGTGCTCCACATGGGACATGGATGCTGCAGATGAAACATGGGACATGGACATGGATGCTGCACATGGGACATGGGACATGGGCATGGAGGTGGGTGCTGCACATGGGACATGGATGCTGCAGATGGAACATGGGACATGGACATGGATGCTGCACATGGGACATGGAACGTGGGACATGGATGCTGCACATGGAACATGGGACATGGACGTGGATGTGGGTGCTCCACATGGGACATGGAACATGGATGCTGCAGATGGAACATGGGACATGGACATGGATGCTGCACATGGGACATGGAGGTGGGTGCTCCACATGGGACTTGGAACATGGGACATGGACATGGATGTCAGTGCTCCACATGGGACATGGACATGGATGCTCCACTTGGGACACTGAACACGTGGGTGCTGCACATGAGACATGGAACATGGAACATGGGACATGGAACATGGATGCAGCACATGGGACATTGAACATAGGACATGGGATGTGGGACATGGACATGGATGTGGGTGCTCCACATGGGACATGGACATGGATGCTGCAGATGGGACATGGAACATGGACATGGATTTGGGACATGGAGCATGGGCATGGATGCTGCACATGGGGCATGGACATGGATGTCGGTGCTCCACATGGGACATGGAACATGGGACGTGGACGTGGATGTGGGTGCTCCACATGGGACATGGATGTGGGTGCTCTCCATTGGCCACATGGGGCCGCATGGCCCCTGCTGCCCTCAATAAAGGCAACCACTGGCTCCCAATGACCCTGTGCTGGTGATGCTGGGGGGGGGGGGGGGGCTCTATGTGGGGTCTGTCCATGGAGGTGTGGGGGAGGGGTTGGAGTCATGGAACCAACCATGGGGGAAGGGGCTTTAGGCTCCTCCAGTCCAACCCTTACCCAGCCCTGCCAAGGCCACCCCATGGCACTGGGGGGGTGCGAGCACCCCCAGGCCTGTTCCAATGGGGCAGGAATTGCCCCTCAGCTCCATCCAGACCTCCCCATGGGGCCGCTTGAGGCCGGTTCCTCTTGTCCCATCCCTTGGGAGCAGATAATAAAGAATATAGGATAATAGAGTAGAATATCATGCCATACAATAGATACTATTGCATTAAAATAGAACAAAACTCACTACATAAACATAGATGGTGATTCAATATACCAGAATAGAACAGAAAAAATCATTCAATCAAAAGATGTCATCTAGAAGGTGATCTAATGTGTCTTATTAGAATAGAATAGAAACATTGCCTAATAATATGGTAGAATACAATGTGATAAATCTCATTGCATAAGAATGTATCTTTATGCATCATAATGCATCATAATATAAAGTTAATGCAATATAGTTTATTAGAACATAACTTATGACAAGAATATAGTAGAATATAATGTAATATATCTGAATGGAATAGACTGCATCGTTACATGGCAATATGCTATAATATAATGCAATTTGGTGGATCTTCTTACAGTAGAATAGTGGAATAGAATATGTACACCATCATATAAGACTATGATAGAATAACATTTAATATAATATTACATAAGAATATGATATTATATCTTATTACAATAATATAATACAATATAATTCATATATCTTCTTACATAAGAGTATAATACAATAGAAATGGAAACTACATGGCCAACCAGGAGCCATAGATGAGAGCGGCAGCTCCCAGCATGCACCGGGGCAATATGGCCGACAGGGAGCCATCGAGAGCTACTTCTCCCAGCATGCATCGGGGCAACATGGCCGACAGGGATCCATCGAGAGCTACTTCTCCCGGCATGCACCGGGGCAACATGGCCGACAGGGAGCCATCGAGAACTACTTCTCCCAGCATGCATCGGGGTAACATGGCCGACAGGGAGCCATCGAGAACTACTTCTCCCAGCATGCATCGGGGCAACATGGCCGACGGGGATCCATTGATAACTACAGCTCCCGGCATGCATCGGGGCAACATGGCCGACAGGGAGCCATCGAGAACTACTTCTCCCAGCATGCATCGGGGCAACATGGCCGACGGGTTCCATTGATAACTACAGCTCCCGGCATGCATCGGGGCAACATGGCCGACAGGGAGCCATCGAGAACTACTTCTCCCAGCATGCATCGGGGCAACATGGCCGACAGGGAGCCATCGAGAACTACTCCTTCCGACATGCATCGGGGCAACATGGCCGACCGATAGCCCTGCTTGAACTGCAACTCCCAGCGTGCACTGCGGCCAACGTGACGACTACAACTGGCAACTTCCGGCATGCGCAGTTGTGTGAAACAGCGCCCCCTTGTGCTTGGAGGAGTCACATAAGGACGGGAGGGGCAGGCGGCGCTTGGTAGGCGGCTGGCAGAGAACAGCGCCCCCTTCGGGACCGGAGGAACGCTGACCCAAACCCGAGTGTGGGGGGGGTGGAAATGGAATGTCCCATGGAGAGGGGCACCCCCCACCTCCCCCCCCCAAAATTATCCATTAAATGACCCTTAAACCCCCCAAAAAAAACCAAAGACAAGGCCAAATCCCGGTTAATAAACGTTTTATTTGCATTTTACAAGATCATTCTTCTGACGCCGCGATTATTTTGCTGTTAAAGTGCTAAAAAAAGGGGCTTTTGCTTTGTTTTTTTTCTTTTTTGTATTTTCTTTTGGTTTATTGCTGCAGTTTTCGGTTTTGACCCTCAAACCAGAACTGTTCAACGAGATTTTGGGGGTTTTGGTTCTTTTTCTGTCTCTTTTTCATCAAAAAATGGAACAAACGGGTTAAAGGCAATGAAAGATGAGTGAAAATCTCATCAACCAACCCAAAACCAGCCCTTGGGCATGGAGGGGGGAAAGACTCAAAGCCTTTGGAGCTGTTTTCCTGCACCACCGGGTCACGGCTCGTCCTTTTCCCTCCCCGTTATCCGATATCCTGGTGCATCCCAACCATGGGAATCATGCGGCTCGGCCCCGCGGCTCTGTTCCAGGGTGCCTTTTAAAGCTCCATTTCTTCAGCCCCATCGATCGAAAAAAACAAACCACAAAAAGAACCAAAAAAAAAAACCCAAAATCCCATTTCCACGACCCAAAACACTGAAAATATCCGGTCAAAAAAAAAGGGCAGGGGGGGGAAATAAGAGTTATATCAAAAATAGCCGGCACAGCTCTCAGCATTCCATGCACAAGCCGACATTCCGAGCGCGGGCAAAGCTCCCGGCTTGGCTCTTTGGGAGGGGTTGGGATTGAGGGTTATGGATGGATCTGGGGAGCCCGAGCTACAAAACGTATCTACAGACCCATACGGGGCTCCCTATGTACAACGGCCCCTACGTGCAGCCCGCCTGCTCCTTCCTCTTGGCCACCGTCAGCTCCACGCCGGGCATGCGGAAGCCGCCTTTGGTTGCGCTGTCGGTGCTGGAGGACGACGACAACCGCGACTTCTTGGTGGCACCGGGCGCCTTGGGCAGCTCCTCGTCGCTGGCGGTCACCTCGTAGGAGCCTTTGGTTTTGGAGCCGATACCCCCGAACGTCCCGAATTTCATCCTGCCCTGTTTGCCTTTGTCACCGGTATCCGGCTCCAGCGCTCCCAATGGTGGGGAATGGGCCGAGCGCTCGTCGCTGAACGACGACGATCGGTGCCGCGGCTTCCTGCTCTTGAACAAGGAGAACTTGGCCTTGGCCCCATCCAGCTCCCCTTCCGCTGAGCCCAAACTGCCCTTGGAGCTCTTCAGGTCCCCTCTGGACCCCGATGCCTCCGGGGAGCCCAGGCTCCCGCTGCTCTTCCCTTTCTGCTTGGAGAAGTTGAACTTGGGCATCTTGAGCTTGGGTTTCTTCAAGCGGACGTCGGCGTCTTCCAGCTCCAGCTCCGTGGCCCCGGCCTGGATGGGGGCATCGGGGAACTCCACGTCCACCCCCATCTCCCTGCCCTTCACCTCCGGGTCGGAAAACACAAACTTGGGCATCCGCAGCTTGGGGAAGGAAACTTTGCCCAGGCTGGGTTCTGGGGTACCCACGTTGACCCCAGCGCCTCCCTTTGAGCCGCTGATGTGGAGCTTTGGCCCTTTCACGTTGACGTTCAACCCGGACCCTTTCAGTGCAGACGCATCCATGGCCGGAGCATCCATGTGGACGCCAGCGCTGGGCTCTTTGGTACCCACATGAGGCGCTTCCATGGTGACTTTTGGAGCTCTGATCTCACCGGTGACATCCAGGTTTGGTCCTTTCAGCTTCAGCTCAGCATCCGGGAGGGAAACTTGAGGCCCTTTCACTTCCACATTGGGTCCTTCCAGCCCAACGCCAGCCCCGGAGCCCTTCAGGCCTCCTTTCACTTGTGGACCTTCGAGGCTGATGCCAACATCGGCTCCATCCACACTGGGGCCGGAAAGGCCGAACTGGGGGAGTTTGAGGGATGGGAGCTTGATGGTGCCACCCAGGATCTCGAAGCCGGTGTCGGGTGCAGCCACCGGTGCTTTGGGGCATTGCACATCCAAGTCTCCTTTCAACTTTGGTCCTTTCAGGTTCACATCCAGATCCGGGGCTGAAGCATCCATTGAGGGCCCTCTGATGTCAACGCCTGCAGTGCCCAGGTTGAGATTTGCCCCCGGGGCTTTTGCCTCCATGGAGCCCTCGATGCCTCCCTTCAGGTCCGGTCCCTCCATCGTTGGGGACTTGAACTTGGGCAGCTTCAGTTTCCCTCCCAAGCCTCCCAGGTCAATTCCCGGTGCATCCAGGCTGACCTTGGGCCCTTCCAGGGAACTCGAAGCGTCCACATCTCCCTTTAGCTTTGGTCCTTTCAGGTTTGCATCAAACTCAGGGCCAGAGATTTGGGGCCCTTGGAGCTTCACATCCACCCCTCGGAGGCTGGCATCAGCCGAAGGGAGGCTCAGGCTTCCTTCCATTGCTGGGACGGACACATCCAGGTTCACATCCGGCATTCCCAGACCCAGACCCGTTGTTCCCACCTTCAGTTTCCCTTCGGGACCTTCCAGTTCTGCTCCAGGAACGTTGACCTCACCCTTTGGTCCTTTCCCATTGAACTCAACGTCTGGCACTGGGATTGAGGGAACCCCAACGTCAATGGAGGCTCCTTCCATTTTCAACCCCCCTGCTCCCATCTGCCCACTGGGGAGGTTGAACTTGGGCTTCTTCACGCTCACATCAGGAGCTTCAACGTCCACGTTGAGACTTGGACCTTTCAGGTCCCCTTTGAGCGCCGGCACAGCCACGTCCAGCTCCGGCCCTTTGAGCTCCCCCTCGATCTTGGGGGCTGCCATGGAAGCGTCTCCTCGGAACCGGTGCGATTTGAGGTCAAACTCAACATCTGGGAAGGAGATTTTCCCAAACATCGGCTTCTTCCCTTTGGGAGACTTCACCGTCACCTCCCCTTTGCCTGCTGCATCCGGCCCCGATACGCTCACATCCACGTCGAGGTCCCCCCCGGCCGCGTTGACGTCGAACCCCCCCTTCTTGCCTTTGACTTTAGGGCCGCTCATGTGAAGTTTGGGCATCTTGAACTTGCTCTTCTTGCCCTTGCCTGCGAGGTTGATGTCCGGTGCCTCCACGTTCAGCTCTGCCTCGGGTAGATCCACGTCGGCCCCCGGGACCTTCACTTCTGCCTTCGGGCTCTTCATCCCGAACCCAAACTTTGACTTCTTCAACTTGGGGACCTTCACGTTTGCCTCCGGGCCCTCAATGCTCAGGTCAGGACATTCAACATCAACCTCAGGGCCTTTGATCCCAAGCTCTGGGCCTTTGATGTCAACGTCGGGACCTTTCAGGTTCCCTTCGAGCTTTGGGGTAGAGAGGTCGAAACCTCCCTTGGTCTTGTGGCCTTTCAAGTTCAGATCGATCTCAGGCATCGAGATCTTGGGGACGTTCATGTGCACTTCTGGCATCTTCAGTTTAGGACCTTTCACTTTGCCCTCTGGACCTTCGATGCTCACATCCGGGACACTGATGTCAACCTTGGGGCCTGAGACATCCACCTCTGCCTTTGGCAGATTCACGTCTACATCAGGACCTTCTCCTTTCAGGCCAAACTTGGGCAGCTTCATTTTAGGCAGCTTCATTTTGCCCTCCAGGCCATCGCCGTTGACTTCTGGACCCTCGAGATCTACTTTGGGGCCCTTGATATCGATTTCAGGTCCCTTCAGACCTCCCTCAAGCTTTGGGCCCTTCAGGTTGAGGTCGATGTCAGGCATGGAGATGTGGGGAGCCCTGATGTGCATCTCGGGCATCTTGAACTTGGGGCCCTTCAGCTTCCCCTCGGGACCTTCAATGGCCACATCGGGAACCTCAACGTCGATTTTGGGGGCTTTCAAGTCCCCTTCAAGCCTGGGGCCAGAGACATCCACCCCTCCCTTCAGCTGGGGGCCCTTGATGTTCAAGTCAACGTCAGGGAGGGAGACCTTGGGAGCCTTGATGTGCATTTCGGGCATGGTGAATTTGGGACCTTTGACTTTCCCATCCACACCCACATCAGGAGCCTCCACATCTAAGCTGGGGCCTGAGAGGTCAAGGTCTCCCTTGGGGATGTTCACATCCACATCCACTCCCTCCCCTTTGAAGCCCGGCATGGAGAACTTGGGCATCTTGAACTTGGGCAGCTTGAATTTCCCCTCTGGACCTTCAACATCAACACTGGGAGCATCGATGTCTAATTTAGGGCCCCCAATGTCGACCTCTGGACCCTTCAGTTCACACTCAACTCCTGGCACAGACACGTCCACATCTCCCTTCACTTTGGGACCTTTCAGGTTCAAGTCAATGTCGGGCATGGAGATCTTGGGAGCCTTGATGTGCATCTCGGGCATCTTGAACTTGGGGCCCTTCAGCTTCCCCTCGGGACCTTCAATGTCCACACTTGGCATCTCCACATCCACCTTTGGGCCAGAAACATCAATATCTCCCTTTGGGAGGTTCACATCCACCTCTGGACCTTCTGCTTTGAATCCCGGCATCCCGAACTTGGGCATCTTGAACTTGGGCATCTTGAACTTCCCTTCTGGGCCTTGAATGTTCACGTCTGGGGCCTCAATGTCCACTTTGGGGCCCTTGATGTCAACATCGGGACATTTTAGGTCACCCTCTACCTTAGGGACAGACACATCTACGTCGCCCTTTAGCTTGGGTCCCTTCAGGTTGAAGTCAACGTCAGGCATGGAGAACTTGGGAGCCTTGATGTGCATCTCAGGCATCTTGAACTTGGGGCCCTTCAGCTTCCCCTCGGGACCTTCCAGCTCTACATCAGGAAGATCAACATCAACTTTGGGACCTTGGATGTCTATTTCGGGACCCTTCAATTCACCTTCTACCTTGGGTAGAGACACATCCACATCTCCCTTCACTTTGGGACCTTTCAGGTTCAAGTCAATGTCAGGCATGGAGATCTTGGGAGCCTTGATGTGCATCTCGGGCATCTTGAACTTGGGGCCCTTCAGTTTCCCCTCAGGACCTTCAATGTCCACACTCGGCATCTCCACATCCACCTTTGGGCCAGAAACATCAATATCTCCCTTTGGGAGGTTCACGTCCACCTCTGGGCCTTCTGCTTTGAATCCCGGCATCCCGAACTTGGGCATCTTGAACTTGGGCATCTTGAACTTCCCTTCTGGGCCTTGAATGTTCACATCTGGGGCCTCAATGTCCACTTTGGGGCCCTTGATGTCAACATCGGGACATTTTAGGTCACCCTCTACCTTAGGGACAGACACATCTACGTCGCCCTTTAGCTTGGGTCCCTTCAGGTTGAAGTCAACGTCAGGCATGGAGATCTTGGGAGCCTTGATGTGCATCTCGGGCATCTTGAACTTGGGGCCCTTCAGCTTCCCCTCGGGACCTTCCAGTTCAACATCGGGAAGGTCAACGTCAACTTTGGGACCTTTGATGTCTATTTCAGGTGCCTTCAATTCACCTTCTACCTTGGGTAGAGACACCTCCACATCTCCCTTCACTTTGGGGCCCTTCAGGTTCAAGTCAATGTCGGGCATGGAGATCTTGGGAGCCTTGATGTGCATCTCGGGCATCTTGAACTTGGGGCCCTTCAGTTTCCCTTCAGGACCTTCCAGCTCAACATCAGGAAGGTCAACGTCCAATTTAGGGCCTTTGATGTCAACATCGGGGCCTTTCAAATCGCCCTCCAGCTTTGGCACAGACACATCCACGTCCCCCTTCACTTTGGGACTTTTCAGGTTCAGGTCAAAGTCCGGCATCGAGATCTTGGGGGCTTTGAAATGCATCTCGGGCATCTTGAACTTGGGACCCTTCAGTTTCCCCTCTGGGCCCTCGATTTGAACATCCGGGGCACCAATGTCCAGCTCAGGACCCTTAACATCCACTTTGGGGCCTTTCAGGTCACCTTCCACGCACGGCACAGACACGTCCACGTCCCCCTTCACTTTCGGGCCTTTCAGGTTCAGGTCAAAGTCTGGCATCGAGATCTTGGGGGCCTTAAAATGCATCTCGGGCATCTTCAGTTTGGGACCTTTCAGTTTTCCTTCTGGTCCTTCAATGTCCACATCAGGAACATCTATGTCCACTTTGGGTCCTTTGATATCCAGTTCCGGACCTTTCAATTCACCTTCTACCTTGGGAAGAGACACATCCACATCTCCCTTCACTTTGGGACCTTTCAGGTTCAAGTCAATGTCAGGCATGGAGATCTTGGGTGCCTTGATGTGCATCTCAGGCATCTTGAACTTGGGGCCTTTCAATTTCCCTTCAGGACCTTCAATGTCCACCTCTGGACCTTCAATGTCCACCTTTGGAGCAGAAAAATCAATATCTCCCTTTGGGAGGTTCACATCCACCTCTGGACCTTCTGCTTTGAATCCTGGCATCCCGAACTTGGGCATCTTGAACTTGGGCATCTTGAACTTCCCTTCTGGGCCTTGAATGTTCACGTCTGGCACCTCAATGTCGACCTTGGGGCCTCCAATGCTGATGTCAGGAGCCTTCAGATCACCTTCTAGCTTTGGAGCAGAAACATCTACGTCTCCCTTTAGGCTTGGACCTTTGAGGTTGAAGCTGGCATCAGGCATGGAGATCTTGGGAGTCTTGATGTGCATCTCGGGCATCTTGAACTTGGGACCTTTTAGTTTTCCTTCAACATCCAGTTCGGGAGCATCAATGTCAACCTTTGGTCCCTGGATGTTAACGTCTGGAACGCTCAAGTCCCCTTCCAGTTTCGGCATGGAAAGGTCGATGTCTACCCCCCCTTTGGACTTGGGACCTTTCAAATTCAAGTCCAAATCTGGCATGGAAATATGGGGAGCTTTGATATTCATTTCAGGCATTTTAAATTTGGGGCCTTTCAATTTGCCTTTGGGACCCTCAATGTCAAGGTCAGGAACCTCGACATCCACTTTGGGTCCTTTCACAGTCACATCTGAGCCTTTCAGATCCACTTGAGGAAGAGACACGTCCACATCTCCCTTCACTTTGGGACCTTTCAGGTTCAGGTCGATGTCAGGCATGGAGATCTTGGGTGCTTGGATGCTCACTTCTGGCATCTTCAAGTGGGGGCCCTTCAGCTTCCCCTCTGGACCTTCTATTTCCAAGCCAGCACCTTCGATATCCAGCTTGGGACCTGAAACATCCACCTCTGCTTTGGGAATGCTGAGGTCCACCTCGGGTCCCTCTGCTTTAAACCCTGACATCCCAAACTTGGGCATCTTGAACTTGGGCATCTTGAGTTTTCCCTCTGGTCCATGAACATCCACATCGGGTGCCTCAATGTTGACTTTGGGGCCTTTGATGTCCAAATCAGGCCCTTTCAGTTCCCCTTCCAACTTGGGGCTGGAAACATCCAAGTCCCCTTTCACTTTATGCCCTTTTAGGTTGAGCTCCACATCTGGCATCGAGACTTTGGGGGAGGAAATGGTCAGAAAAGGCATTTTGAACTTGGAGCCCTTTGATTTTGCCTGAATATCCACCTCTGGAGCAGCAACATCAACTTTGGGGCCAGACAGCTCAGCCTCAGGTTTCTTCATTTTCAGGTCCACCTCAGGGCTTTGCACTTTGGGGCCAGAAAAGCCAAATTTGGGGAGTTTAAACCTGGATTTTTTCCCTTTTCCTTCTAGATCAAGCTTTGGTCCCTCAACTTCAACCTCTGGCCCTTTGATGTCCAGCTTGGGGCTCTTCAGCTCAGCCTCTACTTTAGGAAGAGAAGGATCAACGTCACCTTTAAATTTGGGACCTTTCAGATGTAAGTCAATGTCAGGCATGGAGATTTTGGGAACGTTGAAGCCCATCTCAGGCTTCTTCAGTTTAGGGCCCTTCAGTTTCCCTTCTGGCCCTTCAATGTCCAGGTCAGGAACAGTAACATCAACCTTGGGACCCGAAACAGCAACATCGGCCTCAGGAAGGTTGACGTCAAGATCTGGGCCTTCTCCTTTCAATCCAGACAACCCAAACTTGGGCATCTTGAACTTGGGCATCTTGATTTTACCTTCAGGGCCATGAATGTCTACGTCTGGGGCCTCAATGTCCACTTTGGGGCCCTTGAGGTCCACATCAGGAGCCTTCAGGTCACCCTTGAGCTTGGGGACAGACACGTCCACGTCTCCCTTCACTTTGGGCCCCTTCAGATTGAAGTCAACGTCAGGCATGGAGAACTTGGGAGCCTTGATGTGCATCTCGGGCATCTTGAACTTGGGGCCCTTCAGCTTCCCCTCAGGACCTTCCAGCTCTACATCAGGAAGGTCAACATCAACTTTGGGACATTTGATGTCTATTTCAGGTGCCTTCAATTCACCTTCTACCTTGGGTAGAGACACATCCACATCTCCCTTCAGCTTAGGGCCCTTTATATTGAAGTCCACATCAGGCATGGAGATCTTGGGTGCCTTGATGTGCATCTCGGGCATCTTGAACTTGGGGCCTTTCAGTTTCCCCTCAGGACCTTCAATGTCCAGCTCTGGACCTTCAATGTCCACCTTTGGAGCAGAAACATCAATATCTCCCTTTGGGAGGTTCACGTCCACCTCTGGACCTTCTGCTTTGAATCCCGGCATCCCGAACTTGGGCATCTTGAACTTGGGCATCTTGAACTTCCCTTCTGGGCCTTGAATATTGACATCAGGACCCTCAATGTCCACTTTGGGGCCCTTGATATCAACATCAGGAACCTTCACATCACCCTCTACCTTAGGGACAGACACATCTACGTCGCCCTTTAGCTTGGGGCCCTTCAGATTGAAGTCAACATCGGGCATGGAGATCTTGGGAGCCTTGATGTGCATCTCGGGCATCTTGAACTTGGGGCCCTTCAGCTTCCCCTCGGGACCTTCCAGTTCAACATCAGGAAGGTCAACATCAACTTTGGGACCTTGGATATCTATTTCAGGACCCTTTAATTCACCCTCCAGTTTTGGCACAGACACGTCCACATCTCCCTTCACTTTGGGACCTTTCAGGTTCAAGTCAATGTCAGGCATGGAGATCTTGGGAGCCTTGATGTGCATCTCGGGCATCTTGAACTTGGGGCCCTTCAGCTTCCCTTCAGGACCTTCAATGTCCACACTTGGCATCTCAACATCCACCTTTGGGCCAGAAACATCAATATCTCCCTTTGGGAGGTTCACATCCACCTCTGGACCTTCTGCTTTGAATCCCGGCATCCCAAACTTGGGCATCTTGAACTTGGGCATCTTGAACTTCCCTTCTGGGCCTTGAATGTTCACGTCTGGGGCCTCAATGTCCACGCTGGGACCCTTGATGTCCACATCGGGAGCCTTCAGTTCACCCTCAAGCTTGGGGACAGACACATCCACATCTCCCTTTAGCTTGGGTCCCTTCAGGTTGAAGTCAACGTCAGGCATGGAGAACTTGGGAGCCTTGATGTGCATCTCGGGCATCTTGAACTTGGGGCCCTTCAGCTTCCCCTCGGGACCTTCCAGCTCTACATCAGGAAGGTCAACATCAACTTTGGGACCTTTGATATCTATTTCGGGACCCTTCAATTCACCTTCTACCTTGGGTAGAGACACATCCACATCTCCCTTCACTTTGGGCCCCTTCAGGTTCAAGTCAATGTCGGGCATGGAGATCTTGGGAGCCTTGATGTGCATCTCAGGCATCTTGAACTTGGGGCCCTTCAGCTTCCCCTCGGGACCTTCAATGTCCACACTTGGCATCTCAACATCCACCTTTGGGACAGAAACATCAATATCTCCCTTTGGGAGGTTCACGTCCACCTCTGGGCCTTCTGCTTTGAATCCCGGCATCCCGAACTTGGGCATCTTGAACTTGGGCATCTTGAACTTCCCTTCTGGGCCTTGAATGTTCACATCTGGGGCCTCAATGTCCACTTTGGGGCCCTTGATGTCCACATCGGGAGCCTTCAGGTCACCCTCGAGCTTGGGAAGTGAAACGTCCACATCTCCCTTTAGCTTGGGCCCCTTCAGGTTGAAGTCAACGTCAGGCATGGAGATCTTGGGAGCCTTGATGTGCATCTCGGGCATCTTGAACTTGGGGCCCTTCAGTTTCCCCTCGGGACCTTCCAGCTCTACATCAGGAAGGTCAACATCAACTTTGGGACCTTTGATATTCAATTCTGGACCCTTTAAGTCACCCTCGACCTTGGGTAGAGACACATCCACATCTCCCTTCACTTTGGGACCTTTCAGGTTCAAGTCAATGTCGGGCATGGAGATCTTGGGAGCCTTGATGTGCATCTCAGGCATCTTGAACTTGGGGCCCTTCAGTTTCCCTTCAGGACCTTCCAGTTCAACATCAGGAATGTTCACATCCAGTTTAGGGCCTTTGATGTCAACATCGGGGCCTTTCAAATCGCCCTCCAGCTTTGGCACAGACACATCCACGTCCCCCTTGACTTTGGGACCTTTCAGGTTCAGGTCAAAGTCCGGCATGGAGATCTTGGGGGCTTTGAAATGCATCTCGGGCATCTTGAACTTGGGACCCTTCAGCTTCCCCTCTGGGACCTCAATATCCACATCAGGCGCTTCTATGTCCACTTTAGGTCCTTTGATATCCACATCGGGGCCTTTCAAGTCACCCTCCAGTCTGGGGGCAGAAACATCCAGGTCTCCCTTCAGCTTGGGACCTTTGAGGTTGAGATCAATGTCAGGCATGGAGATCTTGGGGGTCTTGAAGTGCATCTCAGGCATCTTGAACTTGGGGCCTTTCATCTTCGCTTCTGGACACTCGAGGTCAATGTCAGGAATGTTCACATCCAGTTTAGGGCCTTTGATGTCAGCATCGGGACCTTTCAAATCGCCCTCCAGCTTTGGTACAGACACGTCCACATCCACATCTCCCTTCACTTTGGGACCTTTCAGGTTCAGGTCGAAGTCTGGCATGGAGATCTTGGGAGCCTTGATGTGCATCTCGGGCATCTTGAACTTGGGGCCCTTCAGCTTCCCCTCAGGACCCTCAATGTCAAGGTCAGGCACTTCTACATCCACTTTGGGCCCTTTAAGTTCCAGATCTGGACCTTTGATGTCACCCTCAATTTTGGGAGCAGAAACATCCAATTCCCCCTTCACTTTGGGACCTTTCAAGTGGAGATCCACGTCAGGCATTGAAAATTTGGGAGCTTTGATGTTCATCTCGGGCATCTTTATCTTGGGCCCTTTCCATTTTCCCTCAGGACCTTCAACATCAAGATCAGGAACATCCACATCCAACTTCGGACCTTTAATGTTCACATCAGGTCCCTTCAATTCACCTTCAAGCTGTGGTACGGAAACATCAGCACCACCCTTCACCTTGGGGCCCTTCAGGTTCAAGTCAATGTCAGGCATGGAGATCTTGGGAGCCTTGATGTGCATCTCAGGCATCTTGAACTTGGGGCCCTTCAGTTTCCCCTCGGGACCTTCAATGTCCACACTTGGCATCTCAACATCCACCTTTGGGCCAGAAACATCAATATCTCCCTTTGGGAGGTTCACGTCCACCTCTGGACCTTCTGCTTTGAATCCCGGCATCCCGAACTTGGGCATCTTGAACTTGGGCATCTTGAACTTCCCTTCTGGGCCTTGAATGTTCACATCTGGGGCCTCAATGTCCACTTTGGGGCCCTTGATGTCCACATCAGGAGCCTTCAGTTCACCCTCGAGCTTTGGGACAGACAAATCCACATCTCCCTTCACTTTGGGGCCTTTCAGGTTCAAATCTATGTCAGGCATGGAGATCTTGGGAGCCTTGATGTGCATCTCGGGCATCTTGAACTTGGGGCCTTACTGGGAGGTTCACATCCACCTCTGGACCTTCTCCTTTCAGCCCTGGCATCCCAAATTTGGGCATCTTGAACTTGGGCATCTTGAACTTCCCTTCTGGGCCTTGAATGTTCACGTCTGGGGCCTCAATGTCCACGCTGGGACCCTTGATATCCACATCAGGAGCCTTCAGGTTACCTTCCAGCTTTGGAAGAGACACGTCCACATCTCCCTTCACTTTGGGGCCTTTCAGGTTCAAGTCAATGTCAGGCATGGAGATCTTGGGAGCCTTGATGTGCATCTCGGGCATCTTGAACTTGGGGCCTTTTAGTTTCCCCTCGGGGCCTTCAATGTCCAGCTCTGGACCTTCAATGTCCACCTTTGGAGCAGAAACATCAATATCTCCCTTTGGGAGGTTCACATCCACCTCTGGACCTTCTGCTTTGAATCCCGGCATCCCGAACTTGGGCATCTTGAACTTGGGCATCTTGAACTTCCCTTCTGGGCCTTGAATGTTCACGTCTGGGGCCTCAATGTCCACTTTGGGGCCCTTGAGGTCCACATCGGGAGCCTTCAGGTCACCCTCAAGCTTGGGGACAGACACATCCACATCTCCCTTCACTTTGGGCCCCTTCAGGTTGAAGTCAACGTCAGGCATGGAGATCTTGGGAGCCTTGATGTGCATCTCGGGCATCTTGAACTTGGGGCCCTTCAGCTTCCCCTCGGGACCTTCCAGTTCAACATCAGGAAGTCAACTCAACTTTGGGACCTTGGATTCTATTTCGGCCCTTCAATTCACCTTCTACCTTGGGTAGAGACACGTCCACATCTCCCTTCACTTTGGGCCCTTCAGGTTCAAGTCAATGTCGGCATGGAGATCTTGGGAGCCTTGATGTGCATCTCAGGCATCTTGAACTTGGGGCCCTTCAGCTTCCCCTCGGGACCTTCAATGTCCACACTCGGCATCTCAACGTCCACCTTTGGGCCAGAAACATCAATATCTCCCTTTGGCAGGTTCACGTCCACCTCTGGACCTTCTGCTTTGAATCCCGGCATCCCGAACTTGGGCATCTTGAACTTGGGCATCTTGAACTTCCCTTCTGGGCCTTGAATGCTCACGTCTGGTGCCTCAATGTCCACGCTGGGGCCTTTGATGTCAACGTCGGGAGCCTTCAGGTCACCCTCGAGCTTCGGGACAGACACATCCACATCTCCCTTTAGTTTGGGGCCCTTCAGGTTGAAGTCAACATCAGGCATAGAGAACTTGGGTGCCTTGATGTGCATCTCAGGCATCTTGAACTTGGGGCCCTTCAGCTTCCCCTCGGGACCTTCCAGTTCAACATCGGGAAGGTCAACGTCAACTTTGGGACCTTTGATGTCTATTTCTGGGCCCTTCAATTCACCTTCTACCTTGGGTAGAGAGACGTCCACATCTCCCTTCACTTTGGGACCTTTCAGGTTCAAGTCAATGTCAGGCATGGAGATCTTGGGAGCCTTGATGTGCATCTCAGGCATCTTGAACTTGGGGCCTTTTACTTTCCCCTCGGGACCTTCAATGTCAACCTCTGGACCTTCAATGTCCACCTTTGGGCCAGAAACATCAATATCTCCCTTTGGGAGGTTCACGTCCACCTCTGGACCTTCTGCTTTGAATCCGGGCATCCCAAACTTGGGCATCTTGAACTTGGGCATCTTGAACTTCCCTTCTGGGCCTTGAATGTTCACGTCTGGGGCCTCAATGTCCACTTTGGGGCCCTTGATGTCCACATCGGGAGCCTTCAGTTCACCTTCAAGCTTGGGAGCTGAGACTTCCATGTCCCCTTTCACACTGGGTCCTTTCAGGTTGAAGTCAACGTCAGGCATGGAGATCTTGGGAGCCTTGATGTGCATCTCGGGCATCTTGAACTTGGGACCCTTCAGCTTCCCCTCAGGGCACTCCAGATCAATGTTGGGTGCCTCAACATCAACTTTAGGCCCCTTGATGTCTATTTCTGGACCTTTCAATTCACCTTCTATCTTCGGAGCCGCGACGTCCATCTCTCCTTTCACCTTGTGTCCCTTCAGGTTCAAATCTACATCAGGCATGGAGATTTTGGGGGTCTTGATATTCAGCTTCGGCATCCTGAACTTGGGGCCCTTCCATTTCCCTTCTGCTCCTCCAACATCCAGCTCCTGCCCTTCAAGATCTACCTCTGGCCCCGAAACTTCTATGTCTCCTTTTGGCACGGTGATGTCCACATCGGGTCCCTCAATCTTCGGAGCAGACACATGGAATTGAGGCCCTTTGATGGTAACACCAGGTTCTTTCAGGTCACCTTCTACCTTTGGAAGAGCAACGTCCACCTCTCCTTTCACTTTGTGCCCCTTCAAGTTCAGATCCACATCGGGCATCGAGATCTTCGGCGTCTTGATATTGAGCTTGGGCATCTTGAATTTGGGGCCTTTTATTTTCCCTTCTGGACATTCCAAGTCCACGTCGGGCATCTCAACGTCCACTTTGGGAGCTTCCACGTCTATTTTGGGGCCTTTCAAGCTGACATCTACATCCGGCATGGACAGTTTGGGGGTTTGGACGTTCAGTTCGGGCATTTTCAGTGTGAGGCCTTTCCCTTCTGGCCCTTTGATGTCCACATTGGGCACATCAATGTCAACCCTGGGACCAGAGATGTCCACCTCGCCCTTGGGCAGGGTCACGGCCACATCGGGGACCTCTCCCTTCACCCCAAACTTGGGCATCTTCAGCTTGGGCATCTTCAGTTTGCCTTCAGGACCATGAACGTCCACGTCTGGGGCTTCAATATCAACCTTGGGGCCTTTGATGTCGAGCCCAGGGGCTTTGAGCTCCCCTTCCAGTTTAGGGACAGAAACATCGAGGTCTCCCTTCACTTTGGGACCTTTCAGGTTGAGGTCGATGTCAGGCATGGAGATCTGCGGGGTCTTGAAGCTCACGTCAGGCATCTTCACCTTGGGGCCCCTCAGTTTCCCTTCTGGCCCTTTGATGTCCACACTGGGCACATCAACATCAACACCAGGACCAGAGATGTCGACTTTACCCTTTGGGAGCATCACATCAACGTCGGGGGCCTCTCCCTTCATCCCAAACTTGGGCATCTTCAGCTTGGGCATCTTCAGTTTGCCTTCAGGACCATGAATGTCCACATCTGGGGCTTCAATGTCAACCTTGGGGCCTCTGAGCTCTAGTTCTGGACCCTTCAGATCAGCTCCTACTGTGGGGATGGAGACCTCCACACCACTCTTCACCTTGGGGCCCTTCAGGTTCAGGTCCATGTCTGGCACTGAGACCTCTGGGGCTGTGATGTGCATCTCAGGCATCCTCACCTCGGGGCCCTTCAGTTTCCCTTCCATCCCTTTGATGTCCACACTGGGTACATCAATGTCAACCCTGGGACCAGAGATGTCCACCTCGCCCTTGGGCAGGGTCACGGCCACATCGGGGACCTCTCCCTTCACCCCGAACTTGGGCATCTTCAGCTTGGGCATCTTCAGTTTGCCTTCAGGACCATGAACGTCCACATCTGGGGCTTCAATATCAACCTTGGGGCCTTTGATGTCGAGCCCAGGGGCTTTGAGCTCCCCTTCCAGTTTAGGGACAGAAACATCGAGGTCTCCCTTCCCTTTGGGACCTTTCAGGTTGAGGTCGATGTCAGGCATGGAGATCTGCGGGGTCTTCACGTGCATCTCCGGCATCGCGACTTTGGGGCCTTTAACACTGACATCAGGAACGCCCATTCCCACCTTGGGGCCACCGATGTCGAGCTGGGGTCCTTTCAGGTCAGCGCCCAGCTTCGGGACAGCAACATCCAGGTCTCCTTTGAGCTTAGGGCCCTTCCCATGGAGGTCCAGGTCTGGTGGGGATACACTGGGGCCTTTCAGGAGCCCCTCTGGGCTTCCAAACTCAACCCCAGGAGCCTTCACATCCACCTTGAGACCCTTGGAGCCGAGTCCTTTGACTTCTCCTTCCACCCTGGGCACGGTGACACCGGCATCTCCCTTTGCATGGGGGCCTTTCAGCTGCAGGTTCACATCCGAGAGGGAGATCTGAGGGGTTTCCACCTTCTTGAACTTGGGGCCCTTCCATTCCCCTTCCACGGCCGCTTCGGGAATGCCGACATCCACCTTCGGGAGCGCCACTTCCACAGCAGGACCCTTCGGGAGGGTCACGGTTGGCATCTGGAGCTTCCCTTTGGCACCGGGAACGTCCGCGTTGGATGCTGGAAGCTCCACACTGGGGCCTTTCAGTGCTCCCTTCAGCCCCCCCACATCCACCTGCGGGGATGGGATTTCAATGGAAGGAGCTGGAATTTCAGGTCCTTGGATGGAGGAGGAGGGAATGTCCATGACTGGAGCTGGTGGTGCCGGAGCACCGGAGCCTGCAACCGGGAACCCAAATTTGGGCATTTTCAACACAGGAATCTGGATTTTTCCCACATCCAGAGCCGGGTTTTCCATGGCTGGGAAGGAAACGTCCACACCAGGAGCTTGGATCCCCCCCTGCACGCAAGGGGCAGCAGCAGCAGCGTTTGAGAGCATCCCCCCCAGCAGCTCCCCTTGAGCATCCATGCTGGAACCGGGGCCTTTCCCATCCAACCGGGGTCCCTTGATATGGAAACCTGCATCCAAGGATCCCGTTTGTCCAATGGAGATGGAGCCACCGGGGGGCCCCACCGGCAGCGAGCCGGAGCCATCGGGTACCGGCACCTCCACCACAATAGGGCTTCCAGTTTCCATAGTGGGAACATCCATCGATCCCGACACCGTTATCCCGGGCTTTGGGGCACAAGGTCCAGCCGCTGGGCCTGGAGCATCCGGGATGCTTTTCCCTGGATCAACGCTGGTTTCCATCCCATGGGCGAGCTCCTGGGTCGGGATGCGGACCTTGAAGTCTGTCCCGACGACATCAACGCCTTTGGCCCCGTCGTGGCGGGTGACATCGACGGTGTAGGCTGTCACCCTCTTGGTGACGGTGATGGTGCTGCTCTGCACCCCAGCACCTTCCACCTCCAGCACCTCCTCCGACTTGAGCCGTGGCTTGATCTTCGTGGTGTAGATCCGCCTGTATTCCTCATCATCTCCACTCTGCAAGCCAAGAGACCTTCATCAGCACCACGCCTCCTCCTCCTCCTCCCAGCCCCATCGCCCATCACTCACCAGCACAACCTCAGGGCTGCTGCCACCCGTGAACACGTCCTGGGACCAAGTCTGTCCCGGTACCGGGGACTTGTCCCCTCGCCGCTGCAGGCGCAAGCCCACCGTGTGGTGGCCCATGGTGGTGAGGAGCTGGGCCACCTCCCCCGACTGCAGGTTGTCAAAGTAGACCGTGGCGCTCACGATCTGGTCCCCTGCGTGGGGCGAGCAGAGGGAGAAGGGTCAGGGAGTGGGGGAGTGACTGTGCTTGAGTTATGGGGTGATGAGGAAGGAGGGGGTGGGAAATGGGTGATGGAGGAGGGAGGGGGTGGGAAATGGGTGATGGAGAAAGGAGGAGGTGGGAAATGGGTGATGGAGAAAGGAGGAGGTGGGAATTGGGTGATGGAGGAAGGAGGAGATGGGAATTGGGTGATGGAGCAAGGAAGGGTTGGGAATTGGGGTGATGGAGCAAGGAGGGTGTGGGAAATGGGTGATGGAGCAAGGAAGGGTTGGGAATTGGGGTGATGGAGGAAGGAGGAGGTGGGAATTGGGTGATGGAGTGAGGAGGAGGTGGGAAATGTGTTTGGGATAAAGGAGGGGTTGGGAATTGGGGTGATGGACAAAGGAGGAGGTGGGAAATGGGTGATGGAGCAAGGAAGGGTTGGGAATTGGGGTGATGGAGCAAGGAGGAGGTGGGAATTGGGGGATGGAGTGAGGAGATGGGTCATGGATAAAGGAGGGGTTGGGAATTGGGGTGATGGACAAAGGAGGAGGTGGGAAATGGGTGATGGAGCAAGGAGGGGGTGGGAATTGGGGTGATGGACAAAGGAGGAGGTGGGAAATGGGTGATGGAGTGAAGAGGGTGGGGGGTGGGAAATGGGTGATGGAGAAAGGAAGGGGTGGGAATTGGGTGATGGAGCAAGGAAGGGGGGGGAAATGGGTGATGGAGTGAGGAGGAGGTGGGAAATGTGTTTGGGATAAAGGACGGGTTGGGAATTGGGGTGATGGACAAAGGAGGAGGTGGGAAATGGGTGATGGAGCAAGGAAGGGGTGGGAATTGAGTGATGGAGAAAGGAGGGGGTGGGAAATGGGTGATGGAGCGAGGAGGGGGTGGGAATTGGGGTGATGGAGCAAGGAATGGTTGGGAATTGGGGTGATGGAGCAAAGACGGGGTGGGAATTGGGGTGATGGACAAAAGAGGAGGTGGGAAATGGGTCATGGAGAAAGAAGGGGTGGAAATCGGGGTGATGGACAAAGGAGGAGGTGAGAAATGGTGTTTGGGACCAAGGAAGGGGTGGAAACAGCACAAAGGAGGGGTTCCCCCCTCCCCAGAGGACCCATCCCGGGTCCCACCTTCCCTCACGACGCCCATCCTGGCGGCCGGCGAGTTCTGCTGCACCCGCTTGATGAAGACCCCGTCATCGGTCTGGTCGATGGTGATGCCATGGGAGCCGCTGCCCTGCCAGTTGGGGAGCAGGATCTCCCGCGTCTCCTCCTCCTTCTCCATCTGGCAACGGGAGAAGGGAAGGGTCAGGGAATGGGTGGTGCTGGAAGGGATCTTCCAAGGGCTCCCAGTCCAACCCCGCTGCAATGAGCATCAAACCCAGACTGATGGGATCGAAGCCCCACTGACCTTACTGGGACGCTGCTCCCGGTTGGATCCGCCCCAGGAATCCCTTGGCCTTTGCTTGTGGACCTTGTGGCAGCTCCTGCGTCACCTTCCCAGCCTGGAGGAGACATTGGAGAGGTCCCCATGAAGCTCCAACCGCCTCTCCCTTCCTTGAGCACCCAAATGGGAGCCACAGCGCGGCCCAGCCACCCCGTTGGGTGGTGGTGGTCAATGGGGCAAGCAGCAAGAAGCTGCAGAAGGGCCACCATGGCCAAAGGTTGACTCAATCAAAGGCTTTGGCCACTGGAGACACCTTTCCTACAGGTACCAGCCATGGATCTAAGCCTTGGAGCAGCCCATTCCATGTCAAGACATGGGTCAAGCATGGAAGTGGTGCAACCCTATGGAGCTCATCCATACATGGAGGGTCAGAAGGACCAAACCCAGTGAGGATGCGGGGTTCCTCAGCATGGAGAGGTCAATGGAGGCATTGCCCTTTAGGACCACATCCAACCATGGAGCCCTAGAGAAACCCCACAGTGAGCAGGGGCTGGTTGAAGCGGGACGGGACCATCTGGTCCATGGGGAATGGTTCTGAAGGATGTGGGTATCTCCAAGGATGGAGGCTCCATCACCTCTTAGAGCAGCCTGAGGACACCAGTGGGAACTGGGAGGGTTTTAACCACCTGGATGATGGGAGCTCCAGTCTGCCGATGGCACCAAACTGGGAGCATCCGGTAACACCAGAACGGCTGAGAGGAACCTTATGGTGGCCACCAAGGAGAACCTACATGTGCCCCCCCTAACCCCATGCACCAAGAGCTGAAGCAAAGGCCCTGGTGGTCCTGATGGCCACTGAGTTGAGCCCTCAATGTGCCCTTGGATGGATCTGCCCCATGGGGAGGAACCACCCCATGCACTGATGGGTGCAGGAGGATCCCATTAGGAAGCACCTCGATCCCATGAGGCTGTTGGTGGTGGTGGCATCTCCATCCAGGACATGCGGCCCCAAGGAGGGGATTGGGTGGCCCCAATGGAGCCGGGGGCTGAATGGGGTGACCTTGGAATGGAATGGAAGTGGGGGGGGGGTCCCCCACCCCGTGTACCCACAACCCCATCACCGCAGCCACGGATCCGGATCCGTCTGGGAACGCTCCATAGCGGCGGCACCGGGAGGACAAACCAGTTTGTGAGTCAGGAGCAGGGCGGGGAGGTGGTGGGGGGGGGGTGACTCAGAGCTCCCCACCCGGCCCCGGGGCTTCCTCTCCCCCTATAACCGCAACCCCCCCCCCCCCAGGACGTTTGGAACGTTCCGTGTCCCGTCCCCCCCCCCCCCGTGTCCCCCATCCCAAGGCTCAGGGTTCACCTTCGCCGCTGCCCCGGGGCTATTTTGGGGGGAGCCACGTGCTGCCCCCCCCCTATTTTTAGTCCTTCCCCCCCCCCTCCTTCCTTTACCCCCCCCCGCTCGAAGCCACAACGGGAGGAGGTGACACCAAGTGGTCGGTGACAAACAACGGCCAAGGGGGCCCCCATCCCCATCCCCATCCCCATCCCCGGTCCCACCGGACACACAGGGATGAGGTCGGTACTGGACCCCCCCCCCACCGGGGACCCCCCCCCCCCCCGTGTTTGTGCCGGAGCCACAACAGGGACGAAGCCAAAAAGCGGCCAAAAAGGGCATCGGGGAGGACACCCCCCCCCCGGGACCCCCGTTGGTATCGTCCTGCTCCGCTCCTGTCAGTGGGGACCCCAATGGTGACGCCCAGCAACGGTGTCACCCCCCCCAAATACCATCGAACCCCCCTCAAAACGCCATCAACACCCATCAATGGAGTCACCCAACAACGGTGTCACCCCCCCAAACGGTATCAACCACCCCCAAACGGTGTCACACCCCGGAATACCATCGAACCCCCCCCAAATGGTGTCACCCAAAAACAGTGTCACCCCCAAATGGCATCAACCTCCCCCAATGGTGTCACCCAAACGATGTGAGCCCCCCAAACGGCAGCAAACCCCCCAAACGGTGTCACCCCCCCCAGAGAGCATCGAACCCCCCCAGTGGTGTCACCCCCCAAACGGCATCAACTCCCCCCAATGGTGTCACCCAAACGATGTGAGCCCCCCAAACGGCAGCAAAGCCCCCCAAACGGTGTCACCCCCCCAAATAGCATCGAACCCCCCCAATGGTCTCACCCAAAAAACGGTGTCACCCCCCTAAACGGCGTCAACTCCCCTCAATGTTGTCACCCAAACGATGTGAGCCCCCCGAACGGCAGCAAACCCCCCAAACGGCAGCAAACCCCCCCAAAACGGTGTCACCCCCCAAACGGCAGCAACTCCCCCTAATGGTGTCCCCCAAGACGGCGTCACCCCCACAAATGGCATCAAACCCCCCCTGACAGCATCACCCCACAACAGCACCCAAACTCTTCCCAAGACAGGGCTGGACCCCCCAAACCAAGCTGGGGGGGGGTGGGGGTGTCCAAACCCCAACACCAGCCCCAACACAGCCCCAAACCTTGGGGGTCCGCACGCATTCACCCCCCCCCCCAACACCCCAAACCCCCCCCCTTTGGGGCCGGGCCAAGGGCGTTGCTCGTGGGCAGGCGCTAATTAACGAGTGGGGTTAATGAAGGGGGGGGGGGGCACGGCCAGAACTTGGTCACCCCCAAAGTGTTGTCTATGGGGTGCTAAAGGGGGGGCGGTGCGCGCAGGGCAGGAACGCGCGGAGCCGCTGAGGCGGGATCGGGATCGGGATCCTCCCAGGAAAAGGGGGGAAAACGGCCGGGAAGCGTTGGAAAACACCGGGAATATGGGGGGGGGGGGGGGACCGGGTTCCCCAAGTGGGGTTCGTACCGGTCCAACCGGCTCCGGAGCGAGAGTCCCGCGGGCGGGAGGGGGACGGGAACGATCCCGATCCCGCCACCGCGGCTGCTCCCGGACCGGTTCCACCGGCTGCAGGGGCCTCCGCCGGCGGCCAGGGACGGCGTCGGGCGTTGGGGTGTTCATGGGGTGCCCATGGGGTGTTCATGGGGTGCCCATGGGGTGCCCATTGGAACGCTGGGCTCCTCTTCCCAATCCCGAGCCCATTCCCGAAGCGCCACGTGCGCCTCCGAAAGTTGGGATTCGGGGTGTTGGTTTTTGGGGTGCTCGGAGCCCATCACCACCATCACCACCGCTCTGTATGGGGGGTGGATTTGGGGGTTCATGGGGGGGCACTCGCTGCAGTAGGACCTGCTCCAGGGGGTGCAGGGATGGAGGGGCATGGAGTTGGGGTTCCTTATAGGTGGGGGAGAGCCTCATGGGCATGGGGGGTGCCTATGGGCTGGTGGTGTTCCTATGGGGTGCGGGGAGCCCCATAGAGGTAGGGGAGTCCTTATGGGCTAAGGGGTCCTCATGGAGGTGGGTGGGGGGGTCCCTGTGAATGAGGGGGGACCCCATGGAGAACGGGGAGCCCCTATGAGTTAGGGAGGTTCCTATGGATTGAAAGGGATCCTAAGGGTTGGGAGGGGGTTACCCCATAGATTGCGGGGGGATCCCCACAGCGATGGGGGTGTCCCCATGGATTCGGGGTTCCCAATGGCTGTGGGGGGGTCCAAAATGGCGCGCAGGCACCGGCCGCACCCCAAACCCATTGGGTGCAAGGGGCGGGGGGGGGTCAAGTTCACCCCAACACGGATTTAACCCCCAAGACCCCCTCCCCCAAGGTACCGGGATCCCCCCCGAGGGGGGGGGGGGCTCCCCCAGAGCTCGGGCGGGGCCGGAGGCTCGGAGGGGGGGGGGGGAAGGGGGGAATCTCCGCTGCCCCGCCCCGAGCGGGGACTCCCCGGGCGCGGCGGCCGGGACCGAGGAGGGGGGGAAACGGAGGGGGGGGTGGGGGGGGGCCCCGCCCTGAGCGCGCCCAACACCGGGGCCTCGGGGCGCGGCCGGACCCCCCTGACCCCCCCCCCCACCCGGGGCACTCATGGGACAGTCCCGGGACATCCCCCCCCCCCTCGCCCCGCCATAACCGGGACAGTCCCAGGACCACCCCCCACGGGGATACCCGGAACTATCGGAGCCCGCCCGAAACGGGACCCCCGGAACAACCGGGACCCCCCCCCCCCACTTTTAACTCCCGGGATAGCACCGGGAACACCGGGACCCTCCGGAGCCCCCCCCCCCGCATCCATGGGATCGTCCCGGGACAACCGGAGACTCCCACCGGGACAACCCCCCCGTAACGCCCCCGGATCACCCCCCCCCAGTCCCGGTACCTGCGCTCAGCTCCCCGGCAGGGCCATGCCCGGTGCCGGCCCCTCCCGCTCCCGGATTCCTGGCGGCGGATCCCGGTGTTTGCCCCGGTCCCGATCCCGGTCCCGATCCCGGTCCCGGTTCCGGTCCCGGCCGATCCGAGCGGGGCGGCGGGATCGCAGCGAGTGGCCGCGCCCGGAGCGGGGCCGGGCTCTTGTAACGGGAGCGGCGGAGCCTCCCCCGCCCCCCCCGGGGAGGGACCAGCCCCATCGCCGACGCCCCGGGACGGGCCCGGCCCCGGTGCCGCAACAGGGGGGGGACGACCCGCGATGGGACCGGAACGGGAACCGACCCCCGACCCCCCCCCCCCATAAGGCGCCGTCAGGTTCGGAACGGGACCCCCCCCCCGGACACCCCCTCCCCAAATACCCCTTTTGGGGACCCCCCACGTCTCTCCCCCCCCCCGCTCACCCCAAACCAACCCCCCCCGATATAAACCCCAAGACCCCCCCCCCCATGGAGGGGACCCCCCCCCAGGGTAACCCCAGGACTCCCCCCAATGACGTCACCGCCAAGACCCCCCCCAAGGTGAACTCCAAACCCTCACCCCCCCCCCCACTTGAGACAGGTCCCCCCACGGTGTGTCCCCCCTTTCCATTGGTTGTTCCCAGTACATCCCAGTATGTCCCAGTCCCTCCCAGTCTCCTTCCCCATTCCCTGACACCACCCCCCCCTTGAGATCCTCCTGGATCATTCCTCCACTTCCTCGATGTTCCTCACCCCCCCACCCCTCCATGGGGCCATTCCCAGTTTGATCCCAGTTTACACTGGTCCCTGCGGTTCTTCTTTCCCCACTTCAGCACCTTCCTCATCCACAACCCCTCAAACCCTCCTGCATCCTCCCCCTTTATACGGGAGCCCCCCAGTTCCAGCTCCCCCATTCCCAACCGGAACCTCCTCTTGGATCCCCCCCCGGAACCCCCCGATCCCGGGATGGGGGGGGATGGGATGGGATGGGATGGGATGGGCCGTGCCCCCCCCGCTCAGCGCGGGGGGATGTTTGGGATTCCGGCTGGAGCTGCCGCGGCGCCGAGTGCCAAGAGACGGGATTGGGATGGGGACGGCGGCGCTTCCCGGTGCGCAGGGCCCGGAACCGGAGGGGGGCCGGGATTAGGGGGTGTCAGGGGGACCCCCCCCTCGTGCTGTCACCGGGATCCTGGGTGACCCCTGCCTGTCCCTTGGGAATCACCACGGCCCTGCCCGTGACTGGGAATTGCCGTGGCCCTGCCTGCACCCGGCGTTCCCTGCCTGCACCCAGTCGTTGCCATTCCCATTCCTGTTCCTGTTGCCATTCCCATTCCCATTCCTGTTGCCGTTCCCATTGCTGTTCCCTTTCCGTTCCTGTTCTTGTTGCTCTTCCCATTCCTATTCCCGTTGCTGTTCCTATTCCAAGTCCTATTCCTGTTCCTGTTGCGTTCTCGTTCCCATTGCCCCACTGCCGTTCCTTGTTGCTGTTCCCATTCCCATTCCTGTTCTTGTTGCTGTTTCCATTCCTATTCCCGTTGCTGTTCCTATTCCAAGTCCTATTCCTGTTCCTGTTGCGTTCCCATTCCCGTTGCCGTTCACATTACTATTCCCACTGCCGTTCCTGTTGCTGTTCCCATTCCCATTCCTGTTCTTGTTGCTGTTTCCATTCCTATTCCCGTCGCTGTTCCTATTCCCATTCCTGTTGCTGTTCCTGCTGCCGTTCCCATTCCCTGTTGCTGTTCCCATTCCCGTTCCCGTTCCCATTCCCGTTCCCGTTCCCATTCCCTGTCGCTGCTCCCGTTCCCATTCCTGTCCCCATTCCCATTCCCACTCCCGTTGCCGTTCCCGCCTCCCCCGCTCTGGCCGCGCCGCCGCTCCCGCTGCCAGTAAACAGGCAGGAATTTGGCAGCGGGGTCACGGGCGGCCGAAGGGGCCGGGGCAGGGGGGGAGCGGGCAGGGAGCGGCAGCGGGGAACGGGGGGCTCTGACCCACAAGTGTGGGGCGGGATGGGGGCTGCCTGCATGGGGCCGGGACCTGCCTGTGCACCCCTGGGCGCTGCCTGCATGGGACCAGGAACTGCCTGCACTGAGCCGGGCGTTGCCTGCACAGGCCTGGGTGCTGCCCACCCTTGGGTGCTGCCTTGCATGGCCCTGGGCGCTGCCGGTACCGAGCTGGGTGCTGCCTGCAAGGCCCTGGGTGCTCCCTGCATGGAGCTGCCTGGATGGGACCAGGCGCTGCCTGCACTGAGTGGGTGCTGCCCACCCTTGGGTGCTGCCTGCATTGAGTGGGTGCTGCCCACCCTTGGGTGCTGCCTTGCATGGCCCTGGGCGCTGCCTGTACGGAGCTGGGTGCTGCCTGCAAGGCCCTGGGTGCTCCCTGCATGGAGCTGCCTGTATGGGACAAGGTGCTGCCTGCATTGAGTGGGTGCTGCCCACCCTTGGGTGCTGCCCACATTGAGTGGGTGCTGCCTGCACTGAGTGGGTGCTGCCCACCCTTGGGTGCTCCCTGCACAGTCCTGGCTGCTGCCTGCATAGAGTTGGGGCTGCCTGCATGGAACCAGGAACTGCTTACACAGGGCTGGGTGCTGCCTGCATGGCCCTGGGCACACCCTTGGGTGCTGCCTGCACCGAGCTGCCTGCATGGGACCAGAAGCTGCTTGTACGAGCCTGGGTGTTTCCTGCCCACCCCTGGGTGCTCCATGCACCGACATGGGTGCTGCCTGCATGGGACCAGAACCTGCTTGTATTGAGCTGGGTGCTGCTTGCATAGAACCAGATGCTGCCTGTACCAGGCTCTTTCCTGCGCACCCCTGGGTGCTCCATGCACCCAGATGGGTGCTGCCTGCATAGAACCAGATGCTGCCTGCACCAGGCTGAGTGTTTCCTGCCCACCCCTGGGTGCTCCATGCACCCAGATGGGTGCTGCCTGCATAGAACCAGACGCTGCCTGCACCAGGCTGCTTCCTGCACACCCCTGGGTGCTCCATGCACCAAGATGGGTGCTGCCTGCATAGAACCAGATGCTGCCTGCACCAGGCTGTTTCCTGCGCACCCCTGGGTGCTCCATGCACCAAGATGGGTGCTGCCTGCATAGAACCAGATGCTGCCTGCACCAGGCTGTTTCCTGCCCACCCCTGGGTGCTCCATGCACCCAGATGGGTGCTGCCTGCATAGAACCAGACGCTGCCTGCACCGGGCTGCTCCCTTCACTGCCTGTATGGGACCAGGAGCTGCCTGCACGGCCCCAGCGCTCCCTGCCCGGCTCCAGTCGCTGCCCGCGGCCGGGGCCGGTGACTCAGGCGGGCGCGGCCGCGTTGAGCAAGAGCCAAACTGGATCCAGATGTGGCCGGGGGGGGGGACGGGGACGGGGGGGGACACGGACACACACACGCAGGCCCCGCCCTCGAGCGCGTGGGTCCGGCCACATCTGGATCTGGCAGCGGTCACGCGGCCCCGCCCGCACCAGGAAGGAACCAGGGAGGGGTGGGGAGCTGCTGGTTTAAACTGGGTGCCTTCCCCCCTCCCCCCGTGTGTGTGTGTGTCTCTCAATGGAAGGGATTAACACCGCCCCCCCCCCCCCAAAAGCAGCCCCAGGGTGTGATGTGGGGCTGGGCCCCCCAAACGCTGTGGGGCAGAGCAAAGGGGGGGGGGGGGGTGGCAGTTCTGGGGTGAGTCACCAGCCCCGAGATTAGTCACGACACGGAGGGGGGGGTGTTCTGCCCCCCACAGCCACGGCCCAGCCCCATGGCCCAGCCCCACAGCCACAGCCCAGCTCCACAAGCATGGTTCAGCTCCATGGTTCAGCCCCAGAGCCACAACCCAGCCCCATGGCCCAGCCCCACAACCATAGCCCAGCCCCACAAGCATGGTTCAGCCCCATGGCCCAGCCCCACAGCCACAACCCAGCCCCACAAGCATGGTTCAGCCCCATGGCCCAGCCCCACAGCAGGCTCAGCCCTGGGGCTCATGGTGGCTGTGCTGTCCCTATGCTAAAGGTGGGGGGAGCCCCTCTCCTCCATGTTCCCCTCGCTTTTGGCCATATGACCCCACTTTTTGGGTGCCTGACCCCACTTCTGGGGTGCTTGACCCCACTTTAGAGGTACTTAGTCCCTCTTTTAGGGTGCCTGACCCCACTTGTGGGGTGCCTTGTCCCTCTTCTAGGGTGCCTGACCCCACTTGTGGGGTGCTTAGTCCCTCTTTTTAAGGTGTCTGACCCCACTTATGGGGTGCTTGACCCCACTTTAGAGGTGCTTAATCCCTCTTTTAGGGTGCCTGACCCCACTTGTGGGGTGCTTAGTCCCTTTTAGTGTGTCTTGACCCCACTTATGGGGTGCTTGACCCCACTTCAGAGGTGCTTTGTCCCTCTTTTAGGGTGCCTGACCCCGCTTACAGACTGCTTGACCTCATTTTAGTGGTGCCTGACCCCACTTTAGAGGTGCTTAATCCCTCTTTTAGGGTGCTTGACCCCACTTACAGGCTGCTTGACCCCACTTTAGGGGTGCTTAGCCCCTCTTTTAGGGTGCCTGACCCCACTTACAGGCTGCTTGAACCCACTTTAGGGGTGCCTGACCCCACTTTAGAGGTGCTTTGTTCCTCTTTTAGGGTGCCTGACCCCACTTACAGGATGCTTGACCCCACTTTAGGGGTGCCTGACCCCACTTACGGGCTGCTTGACCCCACTTTAGGGGTGCCTGACCCCACTTACGGGCTGCTTGACCCCACTTTAGGGGTCTCTGACCCCACTTTAAGGGTGCTCTGTCCCTCTTTTACAGTGCCTGACCCCACTTCAGGGGTACCTGACCCCCCGCTTTGTGCCCGCATGCCCCCCATTCCCATTGCCGCAGCACTGCAGGGCCGGTGGTGCCGCACCGTGGCCGGCGCGGGTTTATTTCCGGGAAGCAGGTGGGGAATCACTTGAAGATCTTGCCCTGGTTGAAGGCTTTCCCCACGTGCTGGAACTCCCCTTCCCACGTGAAGTATTCCTTGACCAGCGTCCGGCACTCCTGGCTCTCCGGGTCCAGCTTCCGCCAGGAATAGGACTCGTAGTCGACCTGCCAGTCCGGGCTGAGCTGCAAGGAAACGGTGGCTCAGCCCCAG